CCGGGGGGGGGGGGGGGGGTAAGTCGTTTGTTACGGAAGTGTTACAAAGGGGGGGAGGGGGTCAAAAAGTCGTTTTTTCGTGTTACGTAATACTCGAACAGCCCCTTAGATGTTTCAGCATATTTGTACAAATATTCACTCATTTAAAAAATAAATTCATATATGTTGCACTTCACGCATAATCCTTGTTTTTTCCTGATCGATTTTTATTTACAATTGCATGGGGTAGTAAACAAATTCTTTACATTCTTAAAGCTGCTTTAAAGTCAATCAATCAATCAATTAGCTGATAAAGCGCTATTTCCGCTATATTCAACAGCGCTCCTCAATAAATTTTGAAAACAGATGGGTTTAGAAATCCGCTCTGAACTTCGCAAGTGGTGGAGAAGTAGTCAGAGAAGTAGGTAGAGAGTTCCAGAGAAAAGGACCAGAAAAAGCAAAAGCAGATTTGGTAAAAGAATGTTTAACACGAGTTAAGAAAAAGCGAGAAGAAGAAGACGATCGTAAACCGGGGCGTTTAGGTTCAAATAATATATCTGATAAATACTTAGGAAATAATTTAAATTGAGACTTATACATGAACGTGCAAATTTTAAAAATTATTCTATATTTTATAGGTAGTCAGTGCAAGAGAACAAGATATGGAGATATATGAGAAAAGAAAGGGGCACGAGCAACTAGACGAGCAGCAGAGTTAAAAGCTTTAAAATATATCAATATAATATCTATAAATTTGTGCTCGTTATGTTGCTAAAGAAAAGAGTTGCAGATTATGAAAATAAAATTGAAAAAAATTTTTTTCATGCATTTTTTTTCTCTGCAACCAATTGAGTTGTTGATTGATAAAATTTTGAAATAGCTTATCTTACAATAACCAATAACTTTGTTTAGTAAAGTTTAACAAGGAGCAAGACTAAGAAACATTCACTGTACTAATTTTCTAATATTTTTTTCATAATTATAAAATATAATTACGATTAAGATTAAATTAATTATAAATTTCAATTGCAGGTCATAGATTTTGTTTTTTCAACCTGAACTAAAAATTTATTACTCCGAAAAGACTAGCTCATGATTATTATATGGTTAAAATTTAATCATTATTAAATAGATGGACAAGATGGTGCTAGTATTATTGTGTTATTGTTTTGTTCCTCTGGTGCTGTCTTCACCATATTCATGCGGTCCTAACTTTTATTATGACGATTACACAAAAAACTGCCACTACTGCAAGGACTGCTGTCATCCGCGAAAGACTAATCGATTTTGTCTAGAGGAATGTGAATTGGGTTGGTTAGTTTAGTTTAGTCAATTAAAAAATAAAATCAGGTATATCATGCTGGTATATCACATACACAGCAAATATATCAAAATATGATGTGGTATGATATGTATAAAATATATGATATGATAGGATATAATATGATATGACTAATAATTCATTAGAGAGCCTCTGCAAAATTGACGAACCTACCACACAACTTCCACTTAGTAGTCCTGTCAGGTTGAATAGTGAATTGAAAAATTTCTTCATTATCCTTGGTTGTGTTCTGGCCTTTTTTATTCCGGTTTCAATTTTCTTAGTAATTTCATGTTACAGAAGGAATGGAGGTAGGTGCCATATATTTACCTTTTCAAAATATTCTTTGTTGATTGTTTTATTTGTAACTTGCATGCTAAGGATTTTTTTCCTGCATTTTCAAGTTTTGTGGATAACTTAACTGATCAGGAATATTTTTTTTTTCCATTTAAATGATTTTTTTATCGTTCAAAATTCAATTGAAAAATTAAAAAATTCTAAAATAATTTGAATGAAGGAAATGGACTAAGGGGGAGAGAGAATAACGGAAACAGGAATGCTGATCCAGAAAATGTTGTTGCACCACTTAAGGATGGTGGCAATGGCCACGATAACATTGACAAAAACATTAACCACAATCACAACTGCATTAGCAACAACAGCATTGGCAACAGTCCCAATAACAACAACAGCAACAACACCATTGGCAACGACAAAATTAATGAGAATGTTAATAATGATAATAATAATAACAATAACAATGTTGATAACAACAATGATAATGATAATAATAATAATAATAATAATAATGAGGAGGAGGAAGATGATAACACTGAAAATAGAATCAACGACATCAGAAATACACCATCCTTTTTGTCTGCTGGTTATAGTATCAGTGCTGGAGGAAAAATAGTGATGCCTGAAGTTGGTGATGGCAATGGCAGAAATAATAATAATAATAATGATAATATCATTAATAACAACAATAATAATGTTGTTAATAATAATAACATTGGCTATGGTGTTGTCAACAGGAATATTGAAAACGGACATAATAATAATAATAACAATAATAATGTTCAGGCTATCACCGATCAATTTTTATTTAAGACTCGTGCTAACAGTAACTACAAGAATAATAAAAATATTAATAATAATTTATTCCCTAATAACATGAGTGGTAATTTTTTTATTAGAGATAATAATAATAGTATTAATAATAATAATGGAACTTCAATGGCCAATAGTAATTGTGATAATCGTAGAATGGCTAGAAGAAACGACGACGATGATGAGGTTGATGATGAGGGAAATGATGAAGATTGCCCGCTAAAATTGCCAGACTCATTGAATAATAAAAAATAATCATTATTAATATTTTATTAAATTATTATTATTATTTCAAATAATAAAAATGATTATTTCTTATTCAGTTTGACAACGGCATAACAATGGATGAATGAAAGCTTAGAGCATCTACGTTACATGCTGAAAGTATCCATATATACATGTATGCATTTGTGTATGTGTTGAAAAAAAGAATGTTACCATCATGCATATATATGGATGAAATGTGTGTGTGTCTGTATGTGTGTGTATGTGTATCTTTTATTATCTTTTATGATCTCTTATTTAGAGAATATATGATACTGCACACGAGTTAGCGGGTATAGGTTGATGCACAGTAATATATAGATCATAAGTTTGATTATTCCTCAGGTTTTTGACTGAAATTAGTATTTTATCGCTATTGTTATGTTTAATTTAATTGTTTATTATTTCGTATTGATATGTTTTTGGCGAACAATGCCTCGCGGACTACATAAAATAGCTTCCACCCCTCTCTTCTCAGATTAATAGTGTTGCTAGAAGCTCTTACTTTCATCTACGTAGAATAAAAAAACTTTTGCCTTTTCTTGATGATGCTACTCTTCTCCTTCTTGTTACTTCGTTAGTCTTATCTAGGATTGATTATTGTAACTCGCTCTACTGTGGTCTTCCTGACTCTATACTCTATCCTTCAAGTAAAGCTTTTAACTCTGCTGCTCGTCTAGTTGCTCGTGCCCCTTTCTTTTCTCATATATCTCCATATCTTGTTCTCTTGCAGTGGCTACCTATAAAATATAGAATAATTTTTAAAATTTGCACGTTCATGTATAAGTCTCAATCTAAATTATTTCCTAAGTATTTATCAGATATATTAATTGAACCTAAACGCCCCGGTTTACGATCGTCTTCTTCTTCTCGCTTTTTCTTAACTCGTGTTAAACACTCTTTTGCCAAATCTGCTTTTGCTTTTTCTGGTCCTTTTCTCTGGAACTCTCTACCTACTTCTCCATCACTTGCAAAGTTCAGAGCGGATCTCAAGACCCATCTGTTTTCAAAATTCATTGAGGAGCGCTGTTGAACATCGCGGAAATAGCGCTTTATAAGCTAATTGATTGATTGTTGTATGACATTTATTCAATTGATGTCAATCAGCTGACCTTGTGCTGCAGGGACCTTTTCTATTGCAAACATTTCTGTCTTACATTTGCTCAATTTTTATGGATTCATCAATTTTGTTTTCGTTTTGTTTTTTCGTTATTTTATGTTATAACTACGAATCCGTGTAACTAAATGATTGACTAGCTAGATTTACTTCACAAAATATTCTCCTTTGTACAATATGTGATGCTTGTAATATAAATTTGAAATACACTTGTTTAAAATGTGCCTCTTTTTCTTTCTCTCTCTCTCTTTCTCTCTCTATATATGTATATGTGTGTGTGTGTGTGTATGAAAATATTTGAGTAGAAATTAAAATGTACATATAAATGTGTATATGTTTGTATAGAAACTAAAAAATAATAGCCACAAACTTTATGACAACAAGTATTTATGAAGCACCCATTATTTGGTTTGACGAAGAATGTAGAAAAAAATCAACGACATTGCTGGAAGTTGGAAGGAAATTATAGAAAAAGTCTATAAAGATGACAAAGACGAATGTGTGGTCTAATACTTTGGGGTACGAAAAGTAAATTTTCTGCTGATAAACTCAAACAATTGTGAAGCAGGTTGATTAAAGAAAACAATTCTAAGAATCTATGCAACGCATATATCAATACTTTGAATAACGTGATTAACAGTGGTGGATTTATTCTATTGTACTTTATTGTATATATGTGTGTGCGTTTGTATGTGGTGTGTGTGTATTATTCAAAGTGTTTCAAGTATAAATCAAGCGTTCAAAATTATCCTATATATGTGATATTCAAATAATGAATTTATTTAAATTTCTACAAGTTTGCCATACTTTTAAGTTAACACTTAGGCCCGCCCAGTTTGTGTATGGAGGTGTGTTTAATTTCGCATATTCTTAACCAAGTGAACATACAGAATTTGATAAAATTTCTGATTGAAACTGATTCAATTCATAAAATTTAAGAAGAAGAACGTTCTTACTAACTAAATAAAATTGAAAGAAGTGGGCGGGAAGATAGCCAATTTGTGCTGAAACGCCGGAGAATATAAACAAACAAACAATAATTTCGTAAAGCGGTGTGTAAGTTGGTATAAAAAGAGGTGGTGGGAGAAATGTCTGTATATGGCTCGATCATGGATATAGTGGATATGGCACAAGAATTAATTCCTGGCTAATAATTTTTTTAGTTCTATGGAATAGAGAACATAATTTGAGCGTAAACATTTCTTCATTGTAGTTGACATTTCGTTTTACTGTTTTAAAATTTAAATTTAATCGCCTACATTAATCATTTTTATATCATAACATTTAAATAAGTCGCTTTTTTCGTCTCTACCGACTTAGTTATTAAATAGAGGTTGTTTGTTGAGAAATGATTCCGGAAAATTTATGGCAAAATGTAAGGATGTTCATATTTATTTAAATATTTGACATTCATACATTTTGCTCCATTGTCCTGGAAATAAAACATCTTTTGGATGAATCTACTACACATACACTTTGATACATACATTCATCCACCTGGATTAATAACAAGTACAGTTTTCTTCAATGTCATCAAATTATAAATTTTTTAAAAATCTGAACAAAGGTTATAAAATAAAGGTTTAATTCAGAATTTAATGACAAATTAATTATTATGATTCAGGATTTTGACAAATAAATGGATGTTCATAATTATTTTAATATTGACATTTATACATTTTGTTCAATTTTTCTAAAATGAAACATCTTTTGGATGATGCTAGTAGAGGCTAACCGTTATTTTATATGTACATGTAGTGGTGCTAAAAATCAAGGCACAATATGTTCCAATAAATTGTTAAGTTGTTCATTGATAAAAAGAAAATAAATGGACTAAGTGATATATGAAGACATAAATTTTAAAAAACGTAAATGGCAAAAACAAAAAAATTACTGACCCTGCATCAAATACTATTAATATAATGAACTTAGTTGAAACTGATCGACATGGAATTTAATTAAAATCAATCAACTATTTAGTATAATTAAACATTATTATATTTCATAATATAAAAAATATGTATATGTATAAAATTATTATTGCTAATTTATTATGCTCAAATACTGTTGGGGTGCAGTGAAATTCAGCGTAACAAAAAATAATTATTATTGAGAAAATTATTTTCAAAACATTTTACAAAAATATATACATCTTTAATGAAATAAATGTTTGTTAAATTTGCAGATAAAAAATTTGTAAAATACATAATACATCATATTCTTTTGACAATACTTAGATTTAAACTTATCAATATCTAAATGGTCCTAAAAATAAAAATAACGTCTTACATTTATCTGAAAGCATTGAAACTTTTGTATAATAGCTGATAAATTATAAATTAATAAATGCCCATACCTATTTATGTTTTTAAAAAAGGGGTTAAATAAAAAAAAAATTAAGATAAAAAAATGACAAGAAATGCTGGAAATTATTTAATGTTGCTGTGAAAAATTAATAGGTGAAGTTGACTAGATGTACCAATATAATAATATGACTCTCAGTAAAAGCGTTTTAAAATTACTAACAATAATCACAGATTTCAATTAAAAAATATTTAAATGTTTAAAAATTAACAAAAAAATATTAAAAAAGAGAGATTTAGAAATGCAAAAAAGTCACAAAAACCAGATGTTTAATAGAAATTAAAATAAAAAATAAATAAATAAGTATAAATAAAAAATTTCACTGGCCCTTAAAGTGAATTAGTTTATGGTATTTTGAACGAATTTTCAACTGACTATTGTTTTTGGCCAAATGAAAAGAGCGAACATCTATATATGTTTTTGTTATTAATTTCAATGAAGAAAAAAAATGATTGTTCATATTATCTGCACTTTCAATTATATGATCTTTAAGGTTTAATAGATCTTTATTTGCCAACACACTCAAAACACTTGATACAACAATTGTTCTATTCATTTTAGACTAGTTTGTCACCATTTTCAAATGTCTTTCGGTGACACGGCAAATCTGATTGACAAATATGAATTAGTCAAAAAATATATATTAGGCAATATGTTATACAAAAATGAAAAAATTAAAGATCAATATTTTTCCAGCATGCAAATAAAAATAAACATGGAAAAAAATTATTTTCTGACCTGAACAACACCACAGGATGGGAAAACTAGACCACCATTGTCTTTTAGTATCAAAAGCTGATGGTGTAACATGGTAGCTTGTCCTTTTATATCAATAAGTGCAAATCTACACTTGTTACAATCGATTGTTTTGGCAACTTTTCTAACAACCCATCCAGCAATATACGCTACTGCACTGTCGATGATAGTGGACATGGTGTTAGATGGATTTTCAATGACAGTGGACATGGTATTAGATGTCATTATTTGTGAATCTAAATACGTCTCTTCAAAAATATCTTTAAAATGATCCTCTGGAACTTTAAATTCTGATTCAACAATCATTTGTTCCTGTACATTCCCTTAAAAAATTATAAAACAACATATGTATAGCCTCATTTAAAGCAACTGTATAAATAGAACATATTTGAATAACCTGTTTTTCCAGGGACAATACCACATCTATAGTACACTTTTTTGAAAATAGATTCCAGTTGCTGGACATTTGGATTATCATTGCTTCTCCCTAAATACATGAAATTTAAATATATAAAATTGAAGTCACTTTTGTTAAATAACCACTTTTGAACATTTTCTAACCTACACTTCGAATGAAATTAAAAAATAACTCAAGATGGTCTTGGCTGAATTTGTATGTCAGAACATATTTTTGTGTTTGAAGCAAGGATGTGGCTAAATTTATTATGGTTTCTATGTTGACAACCCTCCCAAGAACACATGTATTCCTTGAGTTTTAAAAATATAACAATTAGTTAGTACATTTTCATCAAACACTGTAAGATATATGTTTACCTATTGGTTTGATATATAAATTTTCCATCGACAGTTTTTAGTGATAATAAATACTCTTTCAGTGACATTGGGTTTGATGCTATGTCACTAAATGATGTCATTGATATACCACGTCTGAAAAATTTACTGTAAATGTTCTTACTATTCATTATATCAAACAATATATCCATTTTTTCAAGGAACTGCACAGTTGCTCCACAATCTCTAAATTCTTCACAGTTACTTAAACATCTTAAGGCTTTGGCCACCGAATTACTCAATATGTGAGCCACTAATTTAACCTGAAATTATGTAAGTCATTTTTATAATTATAAAATCTATTGTATGGTGATTTATTTTTTTAATACAAGAACATACTCAAAAGATATTGTTGAATATGTACAGAAAGGAAGAATTATACTAAATGGTACCTTCATTTTCTGATTATGATAATTAACATGTTGGTCAGTTAATTTGTTAGCCAATTTGAAGGCAGTCGTGTACTGTGCAGAATGTAATTTGCATATGTATTCCCATCTAATTAAACCACCATTTGATTCTAAAATTTTTTTATCAGCCCATGTGTTACGGACAAGTTTCAACATGTGACAGGCATCAAATATTACATAGATTTCTTTATTAGTTGATGGTAATTTAAAAGATGGTTTGACAAAGGTAGGCAAATCAAAGACACATCCAAGTTTTATGCACATAACAATGTTTGTTCATAAGCCATCCATCACCAGTGTCACTACCTGTATTTGAACAATAACAACATTCAGGTAACATTGATAAAATAACTTTAAAAAATCTAAAAAAAAAACAGAAATTGTAAAAAGTTTTAACAAGAATTATACTTTCAATCCGATCTCTTCCAAAGCTTCAAGTGCGTTCAATACAAGAACTTGTTGCGTAGTTGCTGACATGCTTTTGAACAAAAAGTAAGCAAGGGGAAACATCCATGAACCTGACGTACCAACTATCATTAAAACCAGGGCCTGTGTTGCCAATTCATTGGATGTGTAGTCTCCACCAAAATGTTCATAACTGGAATAGACACCTTTATGTTTTAAATATATCAGTTGTTCCCGAATTGACATACTATCTATCATCAAAGAACAGTGTGTAAATTGTTTTGCATCTCTTTCGTGTTTTTTCTTCAGGAAATTCAACATAGAACGATTGAGGCCTGGTCCTCCATCTACAGATTCTAACCACCTTAATACATTTAAATACTTAAATTTTTAATTTTGAATTATATATATAATATTAAACAATAACTTACCGTGCTAATGTACGTTTATGTGGCAGATGTAATCCTTTACATTTCAAAAACTGGTAGCTTTTTCCCCCGTACAAATGTAATGTCAATGCAAAACGCTTTTGTTCTTCAGTATAGGTTTTGTTCGGTTTCATGAAAAGTTTTGTTGGAATATCTGAAATGCCAATTCAATATTAAAAATTAAAAAAAGTGGCATACTTAAAGGTTTGTTGCTAAAAATTATTTGTAAAGTTTAATAATTAGCATACCTGAATATGAAAGTAATGTTGAGGTAAGTTCATCATTGTATTTCTTCAACATCTTAATTTCATTTTTATATACATCAAGTTTGACTTTTAATCTTTGAATTTTTTTGTTGTAGTTATATAGAACTTTTCTGGTAGTTTTTAATGATATATTTAATTTTTTAGCTTTCCTTTTCAAGCTTCTAGGTGTCAATGCATCAATACCAGTCTGTAAAATTTTTCATTTTCCTTTCAACAACTTATATTAAGTATTTTAACAATCATTTATAATTCTGGTTATAGTTATAGAAACATGTGTTAAAATACTAAATTACATTTTTCACTATTTTTTATTTATTAAATGGACCATCATACATACAAACCAATTTAACAATTGATGTTGATGGAACTGCAACATTTTCTAAAGATGCAACATTTTCTATCTGAAGTTTGAATATTACACATGAATGAATGTATGCATCAAAGTATGTGTGGTAGATTCATCATAAACTTTGTGAAATAAATACCTTGAACATGTACTTACATATGTGTACCTTCTTATAATAAAATAAAAAAAATAAATATTAATTGTAGCGCATGCAATCAGTAATATATTAATCTGAGTAAATTTTATATTTAAACAAACATACTGGTTCATCAGTTGATTTTTTTTCCATCATTATTGGTGATTGCATTTCAGATAGAGTATCTGCTTGATCATTTGATAAAAGCTGAAAATGATAAATATTCAATATACTTGGTTATGTGATTTGCAGGAACAAATATCTAATTAATATTCATTAATCAAATCTTATTTGATTAACTAATCATTATTGGTGATTGCATTTCAGATAGAGTATCTGCTTGATCATTTGATAAAAGCTGAAAATGATAAATATTCAATATACTTGGTTATGTGATTTGCAGGAACAAATATCTAATTAATATACTAACTATAATATGTAAGTGTCATGCAATTAATTAATTAGTGATTTTTTTTTTCATGATGCATCAATAATTATTTATTTCTTGATTTTAATGTTAATCTTAATGTTAGTTTAATTTTTTTAAACTATTTAATTAAATTAGAAATTTTTTATTAGTTACAAAAAGAACAAAACCTTTGGAAATACTGTAGGGACTGATGTTTTTTTAAGCAGCATTTTAGAACCTACTTTGTAAAAGCATTCTTGTACAAAATGCCTGCCGCAGATGAAGATATTTTTTCTACTACAAAAATTTGTAATATGATTTTTTATATTCCCTTCCCATTGTATTCTTTGACTGTCATCTTTTGGTAGTTTGGTTTGGTTTTATTATTGTAAAAAAAGCTTAACTATTTCATTATAAAATTTTACTATTATTATATTAATTATACATACCTATGTAAAGTTACGCCGATATCTTTATAAGACCCATGACATTTGGATATTGAGCACATGGGCATGGTTAAACTTAATGTATATAAAATAATTAAACAAATAAGAAAATGACAGACGATGATCGGTTAAAAACTGATTACTTCCTTTAACTTAAATTCACTTTTAAACAATTATTGCTACTCTATGCATCAAATTTGTTAGATTTACCAGATTAGATTTGTTAGATGTTATATATATATGAAAAATGTATGTATATATAACGCTTCTGCCATATCCATATTATATATATCCATGGGCTCGATGCCAATGTTTTATGGTGATGTCATTCGTATACGAGACCTGATTATTCGGATTATTTTAATTCATTTTAGTTTATAAAATTTTTTTTTCAATTTGTTCAATTCAGGCAGACACGATTAACTGATTAATCATTATTAAATTAATAAGATTATTTAATATTTTAACATCTAACAAATCTATCTAACAAATTATTTAACATTCTTTCTAGTGCTTTCAAGGTGTTGTATAAATAACTTATACTCTTCTCTACTGTATGTATATCTATATATTATATACTATACAGTGTATATTAAGCCATATTTTCTGATGGTTAAAAAGTTTAATTAACTGTTTTTTAACATTTAAATTTTTAACTGTTTTTTAATGTACTTTTTTATTTTATCATTACAATAACTGAATAACAGGATTAATGAGTGTAACTCTTATCTTATGACTTATAGAGTCTTATTTATTCATCTTACTTTTGCTTACAGTTATGATGACAGTTAGGGTTAAAAAATCTGCATGTGAGAGAAATTGGTATTATGACGATTACACAAATAAATGTCAACACTGTTCAGATTGCTGTTATCCCCGTGATCAAAATGAATTTTGCCAGAAGTTGTGTAACCTAGGTCCAGATGGTTTGTTTTTTTTAGTTAAATTTTGTTTGTTATGTATATTTTATTACTATTTTTCTTGAGTCATAAATTTTTGGAAAAAGTTATCAAACAAACAAAAAAAGGAAAAGTTTTCATTATTATACTTGGCTTTTTAAATGACTAACTAAAACTAAAGATATAATAAAATAAATGTACATTTACCTAGCTTTCTATTTTATTCCGTGTAAGTAATTCTTACTACAGTCCTGTTTTTAAATATTTATCATTCATCATATAAATAAAAATAATTTGTAATCATTCAGAGCCTAATAATAAGCTGCTTTTTTTTAAATTATGTGTAAAACATTTTTTGATTTTTAAGCTGACTACAGTGTTAATTCTTGCACTCACCTCTCCTCTACCTCTCCCAATATTTACACATTATTCTTTGTTACACTTTTTATTAGTCATTTAAAAAAAAATTTTTTGTAATGTTTTTCAATTTGTGATGTTTTTCAGTTTATTAGAAATAAATAGTTAAAGGACTAGTTTTATTTTATTTCAAAAATAGTCTTATATACAAATTAATTAAACACTGAAAATTATTTACAATAGTTTTTATTCTGTATTATTTCTATTTCAGGTGATGCTTGCTATAAAAAAAGTTCAAAATCAGAATCACTCTTATATATTTCCATTGTCTTTGTGGTTCTATTCGGAGTTATTGCAATAATAGTATTATTCACTACATGTTTATTCTACAAAGGACATCGCAGAAGTATCTAGCTGTTTGCGCGTTCATATCACACAACTTTTGTGATGTTTGCAGTATATGTAATATTTTTTATTTTGATGAAATTTACCATTAAGGACAATTTTTAAAATAATTTTCACATTATTTTAATAATCTTATCAAAGGAAACATAAATGATATCAATGAAAGGGACATCGAAATAATTGCACCCTTGCATCCAGAACCAGACGAACCCGCTATTCAACCAGGTGAACCTGCTCATCAACCAAATGGACTCACTCCAACATCAAATGGACCCACCCTTATACCAAATGAACACCCCCATCAACAACAAACTCCATCCTATCAATTGCCAACGTTTCCTTGTCAGCCACAAGCCAGCCCCCTCCAGCCAGGATGTATAGTTGGCACCAGTTCAGGAGGAAATCCTGTCACTCATGATACGAACCCTGATATACCAGGTGTCAGTATTAGTGGACACAGCAACATGAATGACAATGATCACAATAACAATAATATCATTAACGATGGCGACAATAATTTGAATAATCACACCTGTGGCCGCATTAGCCAAAACTTGCAAGGCACTGCTGCAGGTAATTGTGTTTGTGGTATCGTTAACATAAGAAGGTCATGAATGCAAATGCGATTTTGTTATAGTATATCCGGTAAAAATTCATTTTCTTATTTTAAAGGCTGTTACTTTTTTGTATACTTTGTTATATATATGTAAAGAAACTACATTTCTTTAATTTTGATTTTGTTTCGCTTTGCGTGATTGATAATACACTGCGAATTTTTTGTCTGGGGTTTTTGTTGATAGGTTAAAAGAAAACCTAAAAGTAAAGTTTAATGAAATATATTTTGTGACAAACTGTTTATAATTTGTGAAATAATAAACTTTAAATGTCGTTTCTTTGTTTTCAGGTGAGTTTTTTTTTCCAATAATGATTTTTTTTTTAACATTTAACAAAATAAAAACTTTGTTTTCAGGAGCAACACATTTGTTTGTTTGAATCATAAATTATAATTGAAACTCTTATAATATATATCTATATATATCTATATATATTAATATATATATATATATATATATTATATATATATATTATATATATATATATATATATATATATAGAAGCTTTGCCATGTTTGGTCCTAGAGTCTGGAACGGTCTTCCCAAAGACCTACGAGACCCTGCTCTGGGTGTTGAGAAATTTAAGAAGATGTTGAAAACATATTTATTTTCGCTGTAGTGTCAATCATTGATGTTTAATTTTTACTGATCTAATGTTTATTTAATTAATGTTTGATTTATTTGACGAACGTTTGTCTTCGACTATTTTGTATCATATATGTATTGTATATTATTTTATTTGTAAGCGCTTTTGAAAAACTATTTAATTAGCGCCATATAAATATTCGTATGTATATATATATATGTATATATATATATATATATATATATATATATATATATATATGCGTGTGTGTGCGGTTGTTTAAAAACATTAGAGCACTGCGGTCATTGTTTAATTATCAGTCGAGTTTTTTCTATTTTTTTTGTACCACGAATTTTAGTTCATTTTAAGTTTGTTCAGTTCATAAGCAAAATTTTCATTAATTTTTTTGTATTGTCATTTAAATTATTATGTACTTTTGTATAAAAAAAAACACCGCTATCTTATTCTGACTTATATTCAATGTATTCTCTTAGATCATGTATCCTCAAGCACAGCCAACCATTTCTTCAGTTTTATATTACGCGCGTTATTTAATGCCACCGCTCAACTAATAGTGTGATTTCATCATCCTGCTTTTATTTTGTTAAATTATTTTGTTATGTAATAATAAAAACATCTCAAGTTTCGATCTCTTTTTTTCTCTTCAATTTGATTAACGACCCTAACCAGATAATAAATTAAAATGAAACAGCTAAGATTTTTCAGTCTTTTGATGCAACTTTTAGTGTATTGAAATCACTAAACGAATAAACTAATATTGGGCATAAATTTAAATTTAACGTTCCAACAATTGTAATTCGCGATTGTAATGAGGTAATAGTAGTGAAATACCGTTTGAGTTGTACGCACTTATGAACTTACGGCGGTAAAAAAATTAGTGACAATCCCTTTTTTCAAAACGTGTAGGTGTGCGTACAAGATGAACATGCCAAACAACTAGCCGACCGGTCATCATACATTTTATGTATCAGTATTACTTATTGTGTGTGTGTCTATATGTGTTGCTACACCGCTACTGCTATGCTACTACTGCTGCTGCCAATACTACAATCTAGTAAATTAGTTCAAAAGTGCGTACTAATGCTAAAACTACTGTTGTTACTGCGGTAGTAATATAAGATATACAGTAATGTTACTAGAAATGTAATTAGGTGTAAATATACGAAATCGTTGAAAAAGTATTATTACTGCATTGTTACTAACATTTTTATTATAACTCATGTTACAATTAATTTCATTACAATTAAAAGTCTCGTTAATGAATTTACATCATTTACTTAGAATCATTTGGTCAAATTTTACAATACCGATTCCAACTTATTTTATTGGAATTGATTGATTGTCACCTTTTAGCCAACAAAGATGCCAGTAAAAAATAAATAATGAAACAACCCTTTGTTTCACTGTTGATTTTTGGAGTTGGGCCCACGTTAATTCATTCTTTCTAAATTTTTCATTAAAATAAAATGAGACGTTACGATGTACGAAATGAATTACGAAATGAATTTTGTTGGATGTCACTTTTCGTCTATTGAATCACGCTGAAACTGTTGCACAATCCTGTTCAGGTGTTTGGAAGTATTTACGCGATGCAAACGTTGGAAATCATTTTGTGTAGCAACCAGGTAGGAGGTGACTTGTTGTGCAAGTTCATGTTTCAGTAAAACGTTCACACAGTTACTAATTTTTCTACTTCGTAATCTTTACTTAACAGAATAATAAGTCTACTCTAAAACTCTATCTGTCTACCAGCTTAACTAACTAAATCTAACTAACTAAACTAAATTAATTAGTTCAATTTTTGATGAACAGAGTTTTAATTTTCTGCTGTTAAAGTTAAACAAATTTATAAAGTATAATCATTAATAATTTAGTAACTAAGTTTAAGTTGATATTCTGCACATCATTTAAGCTTATGTTAGTTTTTCGTTTATATGAGTTACATCACATGCACAGCAGACACATAGCCATGTCTTTCAAAGTAAATTTATTTTCCCTTGTGGAGTAGAGTAAATATCACGAACATGGAAACAGCATTGTGACTGTGAGATGTACACGCTAGAATAATAACAGATATAAATCTGATAACCTTGATAAGATTGTCTAATGTGCTATTGTTTATTAAATGCATTCTTTGTTAATTATTAATTTGTAATCAATTAATTGGGAACGAAATTAGACTTAACCCTTCTGCTGAAAATAAATAAATAAATAATGAATGTAATCATGTTGATCTTTAGGTAAAAATCATCAACAATAACTTTTAATTAACGAAAACAATCAATTAATTAATTAATTAACATCGAGCTTGAGTCGAGACGGGACCTTCCTGAATACTTTCTAATGCTGTTGAAATTGAAATCAATATAATTACAAGGGGATGAATATAATTAATCAATTGAATGGATATAAGATTAACTGTCATTATGATAGTGCTTTCTACAACTTTGATTCAACTACTAAATCATTCGTATTCAGATTTCGTAAAATAAAAAAAAAAATTTGTGACATCATATCGCTGCTAGATTATTTCATGTAATGCAGAGTTGCAAAGAATTACAATCCAGTTTGGACTGTTCACGTTCCTACTATTTATTTTTACAAAATGGTATTTACAGCTTCTCTCTCTCACACACACACACACACAGAAGTGCAATTTATAGTAATGAACGGATATTAATGCAAGAATAGCGTTTACTGTGAAATTATAACTGATTCATTGGGAGCAAAAATAGAAGCAATTAACCAATTTTGCATGAGGCTGAGAGCATGTTGTATTTGTCTCATAGTGCCAACAACGGTTACGATTCTCTGGTTGGATCCGGGTACGGAATCATCGATGTTTATGAGGGCTTTCGATTCCTCCCTGATAAGCCTGATCCTGGAACCTGACTTGCCTATGATGGAACCTGCCAACTGAATATTATTGCTCATGTTAATAGTTTATATTTGTAAGTTTTATCTGTTATCATGTGATTCTTTTAACTTCTTTATTTACCTAACTTCTATTGTAATTTCGTTATTTTTAGTTACTTTGTTTGACAACTTGCGTTACCTCAGTTTTTCATATTGTTTTGTTATTAATTAATTAAGACGTCTTGTTGTATTATTGCGCAAGTAGAAACACACTGTTGTACTTTTTAATTTTTTTTTGGCAAAAATTCATTAAAAGACTTTATTCAAATATAACCACAACAAATTAGGATAGATAGTTTTAAATTATTAAACGCGGAGATGGACTGTGAGGTGTCAACTTACATCGTTAGAAATAGTGACTTGGCGGGTGATGACGTTGTTACTGCTACCTGCATGGTACCCAACTTCTTCCCCAAACTCCTGCTCCTGTTCTTCCTGTTCACCCTCTACATATTCCTCCTCCTGGTCTTCTTGGTAAAAATAGTCCTCACAACCTTCCCCGTAATCACACTCTTCTTCTTCCACCTCCTCCTCATCATTGAAGAAGTTGTCGTTTGATAAACTCTGCCCATCTTCAAATGAATGGTAACCTTGCCTGCAAAATAATTGTATCTGTATTTGTGATAAATTATCTTGGAAACGAAACAAACATATTTTAGAAAAAACTTGAATCACTAAAATAACAAAATTACGAACAGAGAGAGCTAAAAATATAATAAGGTGAGAATGAAATATCAAGGATAATAACATAAAATTTTGTCTACTGGGGATGATCTGATTAAAGTTCATCAAAGGCTTGGGAGGAGGGGGTCGAAAAGGAGGAAAATTATGACTTCCTCTATTATTGTTGATCGTATTACTCCCTCTGAAGCCGTTGTTATGGTTAGCTGGAGGAAATCTCCTAGCTGGCAAATTTTTGTTCATAACAGAAGGGAATCGCCTGGCCGGCAGGTTCTTGTTCTGGGCAAACCCTTTTTGGAAGCTGTATGTTCCAGCGTAGCCACCGTACACATCAATCATGCCCTCGTTAAAATTTATTGGGTTGTAGGCAATGTTTTCACCAATTGGAGGGCACTAGAGGGTCAGTGCGAGAATTTAAATGTTTTGAGGTGAACAAAATTAACGTGAAAAAAATCAGCAAGAAAAACAATACTGTTATTACTCTTAATTGATTAAGTGTCAATTAAAAATTACTTTAGTACTTAATAATGAATGATTAACTAATAAAAATAGTGAAAAATATGTATAGAATAGGTAGGAGCATAACAAACGCTGGCGAGCATGTCCATGATGTGGTAGACAGTGTTAGTCACAACTTCCGGGTCACCCTTGATTTCAACAACTCTATCAGTTGAGTCAGGAGCACATTGGTCATACACTTTGATGTGCACTGAGTATTTCTTTTCAGTTTCAAATCAAAATACGAATTTTGAATTTTTCAAGTTTATGTTTTGAAAAAAAATTTCAATCACAGTTGATGATTTTCATATTGATGTTATATTTATTCATAATACTCAAGGACAATTTATTTTAAACTGTTAAGTATTGGCTCAAGAACTTCTTATCATTATAATGTACGACTCCTTTTTAAAAAAATATGAAAGCAAAGGTATCAAAATTCAGGAAAATATCAAGAAGCTTAGCAATGGCTAGGCCTCAAAATAAAAAGCAAAAGATGAACAAATAATTGAAAACCAGACTCATCATACCTGCCTAATCTCTTTGATGTTGCATCCGGACTTTCCAATAATTGCTCCACACTGACTCTGATGAATCAACAACTTCACTTCAACTCCCTTGCCAGACTGCAGATGCCAAAATTAATTTTATAAATCTAAATAGAGAAAATAATTATAACAAATTAATAAATATTTTTTCAAATTTTATTACCTGAGGAGCATATTTGAGAGTCTCGAGAAGCAAGGAACAGGCATTGCAAAGACAACAGACAATGGTAAACACGCTAAATCAAAAAATTTTTTTACAGAATAATACAGAAAGTCATTAAATATTCAAAACCTGCCAACAAAAAAGCAATGCTCCCAAACTCAACAACAATACGTGAAAATCATCAACTGTGACAGAAAATTTTTTCTTAAAACATAAACACGAATGAACAAAAAAAGTTGTCATTTGTATTATTATTAATATGTAGTGACTACCGTTCAGGTCCAGGGCAGTCGGGAACTAAAACAGTAGCATTGTACTAATCGGACGGGGAGGGATCCGTATTAAATTGGGAAAGGGCAGTAGTAACAAAGGGAATTCACAACAAAACATTGGGTTTGTTTGTGGGGTTTATGAAATGAAATCGTTGCTTTAGTTCATATGGTAATGAATAAATATGTAGTTTATAATGATTCATTATGTAGAATATAACCTAGTTCATTATGTCCTTTTTAACATATAGGATACTACACTTGAAATTATATTCACAAATGTTATAAATTTACAAATTTACATAATTAAATTTACAAAGTTGAAGATGAATGGTTGATAATATTTTTTAAAAGTTCTGTATCCAAGATAGGAAACTGTGAGGTATTTTAAATTTATAAAAAAAATTGTAAATTTCAATTTATGAAAAAAAAATATAAATTTATAAAATAATAAAATTGCAATAAGTTATAATAAGTAAACCTTGCTTCTTAATGATTTGATGTGCTCACCTCCTTTGCCTATAATTGCGCCTGCATCCTGAAAACGTTATTCCAATTCTTTCATTAGTATATTTCAGAAGCATCAGGCATAATTATAATGATTTCATTATAATTTAACTACAATATTTAAATTATTTTAATGTTTTACTTACATTGCTGGGAATGAGCAGACGAATTTCAACTGGGGATTCATTCATAAATCTTGATTTCTTAACAGCTTGCCCATCAGCCTCGACCAACTCCTCGTGATCTGAAGATGCTCTCTTTGTAGCCATTGAATCAAGTGACTGGCACTCTAGAATGAAAATAAATGACAAATAAACTTTCAATGCAAGGGTAAATCATTTGTCATCGATTAATTTAACTGACTAAAAAATTTAAAAATAATTTCTTACTTCACTTTGTAACTCTATATTAGATTAGATAACAATAATTAGATTAATTTAATAAAACCTAATCTATTAAATCAGACTCTATTAATGATTAGATTAGCCTATTAACCATATTATATTAAGGTCATTCATTAAATAAAATTAACATTAATTGATAAGGATAGGGTTGTTAAGGTAAAAGATAAAAACTAAACTATAGGAATACAAATTCTCTTTTTATCTTATATAATTTTTAATCACAACCAAAATAAAATTAAACTTTATAGAAAAGAAGGAAAGACAAAAAAATATAAATTAAACTATCAATCAATCAATCAATCAATTAGCTTATAAAGCGCTATTTCCGCGATGTTCAACAGCGCTCCTCAATGAATTTTGAAAACAGATGGGTCTTGAGATCCGCTCTGAACTTTGCAAGTGATGGAGAAGTAGGTAGAGAGTTCCAGAGAAAAGGACCAGAAAAAGCAAAAGCAGATTTGGCAAAAGAGTGTTTAACACGAGTTAAGAAAAAGCGAGAAGAAGAAGACGATCGTAAACCGGGGCGTTTAGGTTCAATTAATATATCTGATAAATACTTAGGAAATAATTTAGATTGAGACTTATACATGAACGTGCAAATTTTAAAAATTATTCTATATTTTATAGGTAGCCACTGCAAGAGAACAAGATATGGAGATATATGAGAAAAGAAAGGGGCACGAGCAACTAGACGAGCAGCAGAGTTAAAAGCTTTACTTAAAGGATAGAGTATAGAGTCAGGAAGACCATAGTAGAGCAAGTTACAATAATCAATCCTAGATAAGACTAACGAAGTAACAAGAAGGAGAAGAGTAGGATCATCAAGAAAAGGCAAAAGTTTTTTTATTCTACGTAGATGAAAGTAAGAGCTTCTAGCAACACTATTAATCTGAGAAGAGAGTCAATCAAAGTAGAATCAAAGATAATCAATAGTAGAATCAAAGATAAAACCTAGACTACGAAACTTATGAGAGACATCAAGAGTTTTAGAATCAGGTAAGATAATAGGAGGAATAGTAATAAAGTGTTTAGATTTATTAAAACAAATTAATTCAAACTTAGAAGGATTAAGTTTAAGACACATAGAGTCAGACCAAGCGATAATCGAAGAAAGACATAGAGATAAATTATGAAGAACACTATTGAGATTAGATGGAGGAAAAGAAGTATAAATATAAGAATCATCAGCATATAGTTGACTAGAGAAAGAAAAGTTATTAATAATACGAGGTAGTTCAGAAGTATAGAGTATAAATAGAAGAGGGCCAAGGAGGGCCTAACCCTGAGGTACCCCGAAAGTAAGAGTAGAGGAGTTAGAAGTAGAATTAAAACTACTAGGAAAAGAATAAACAATAAAAAAGATAAGGCAAAGGCCACAAAGTTAAACAAAGCTAATACTAGCTAAACTACAGAAACACTGCACCAATCTATTCATTTTAATTTTAGTTAGATCAGTGAACAGTAGTGACACTGTGAATAATAGTTAAATTAAATAATATAAAATAAAATATTAAATTTCATTTTTTTTTTGATGAGTTGATCATTATTTCTTTATTTCTCATGTTTTTCTCAAAAATTTGGTACTGAGATATAGGGCCAAATATATCGAAAATATTAATAAAACAAATATTAAGATTTACTATTCAACAGATTTAAAAACTCACCACTTTTTCAACTCGCAAAGTGGTTGCAACAAAATTTTACCGTTAAACGCACTAAACTGAATAAACGTAACGTAAGTTGATTTCGTTGGTTACTACCAAACCAGACAGTTTTAAAATGGCATACAAAGATAAAAGATTCATGGAAAACTGTCATGATGGCAACTACTTAGGCTTCCACTTCGACGTTAAGTTCAAGTGCCACAGCTCAATTGCTAGATACAATTTAACAGCTTGTATTAAAATAAATAAAAATATATAAATGAAATTTGTGATAAATGTTGGAATATTTGTCTTAAACATTGAAAAATTTTAATGGAAACTTTTTGAAATAAGTTAAGGAAGGATATGTGGAAGGTATCGGGGAATCGTAAGCGGAGATCATTAAAAGTACAACATTTGGACAATTTTACAAATTTGTGACTGTGAAAAATTGACAAAATTTTTTAAACAACTTGTTAAAACGTATGGCAATTGGTTAAATATATGAAAACTGAGAAAACTATGGAAATAAGTAAAGTTTTTGAAAATTAAATCATAAAACGTGTGAGAGGATTTTGATGAACTTATAATAACATTTAAAAAATGAGAAAAAAATTGTAGGATTGTTCAATATATATGTGTAGATATATATATATATATATATATATATATATATATATATATATATCAATAATAAAAAGAAAAAGAAAAAACGGATGAGAACAAGTATAAATATTAGGGCAGTGGTCTCTGTTTCAAATGAAATTTTTTAGTCAGCTGCACGCATCTAAGTACATTTGCACGGAAATGACGTTTTTAAGTTCCGCCATTACGATCTTTGTAATTTCCTGCGCCATATTAATTAAATCAAGTTAGTACTTTTTTGTCACGTTATATAAATTATAACAATGTTTAACAATTGAGTTAAAAATAATCATTAATATTTTATATTTTTCGTCAGACATATACGTTGAAAATGCAAACATTTTTTTTGAGTTCTTAAAACTTATAAACCAGTTAAATTTCAAGTAAATTTGTAGCAACTATTTCATTAAAGAGTTTTAAGAAATTTGTCTACTTCAATGTCAACATAATATATTTTATGTAGAAAAAAATTGAAATAAAAAATTTTGGAATAAAGCACAATTTAATAAATGACTTTTATGATTCACGTCGCTGGATTATTTTTACGCTTTATCAGATTAATTTTCAGTTACATCAAGTTACTTTTGAAAAAACTTTTCGTAAAAAGAAAAACCGAAAACCAATTCCGCCAACAAAATCAACCTATAGACGTAAGATTAAAACTTTGACCATGAGCACTTAAAGTGTTTTGTTAAAATATTATTGAACATCGTGATACAGAAAATATATTATTATAATAATGAAAATACATGATACAGATTAATAGATTACAAAAAAATTTTAACCATCGAATGAAACGCTAACACTTAATAAGTACTTGTTACTTCTGAAAATATTTTTCTTCAAATGACAGACAAAAAATAACTTGATGTAACTGAAAATTAATCTGATAAAGCGTAAAAATAATCCAGCGACGTGAATGTAGAGCCGATGACGTGTTTTAAATGACCTCAAAAAATTGAATGAATCAAATTAAAATGCAAATGTTATCAAATTTTAAAAAATGTACGCCAGCCAACTTCATCACAAACACACACAGACACACGCACGCATACACACCCACCACAAACCCGACCTTTTATGTTTAACTATGTTGAACAAGCAAGACTGTACTATCCAAGTAACACTACGAAAAGACATTCGATGTTGCTTTCAGGGCAGAAAAACATATATATATATATATATATATATATATATATATATATATATATATATCCATGCAGCGAACGCCTGTTGGGGCAAGTTGGAAGCACTAAGTAGGGTAAACTTGAGAATGTCAAGATGAATCAAACCCTGTTTTCTGTGGTGTTATCAACATTTTAATGTGTTTAGCAACTAATGATTATATTTTATGTCAGAACTGCCGTTGTTTCATATTTCACAAACTTGATATTTATGTTGAAAGAATTTTTAATTCCAATTTTATTTGGATAAGAAATGTGCACTTAGATTTTAGAACTCTAGGTCGTTAGAGTGATATGAATTATGAAACTATCCTAAATAAATTTTTTTAAATTAAATAACCGGTGGTGATATTTGAAGGTAACAAAAAATCAGAAAAACGTAATTAAAAGGACAATGTATGAAAATTAGAACAGGCAAATGTAAAAAAAATATTAATCTCAGTGCACCAGTCAGTAACTGACACCTGGAAAAGATGTTGTGAATAGAGCGTGGAACGATTTTTCGTTATTGAATGGAGACTTGTGATGCATCATCTTTCTCTCCATCTCTCTTGCACCTTCTTGGGGTTTTTCTATAGAAAAAATTTTCAATTAAAGCGTGAATTTTATTAGATTTTAAAACCTGCGTCAATCCGTTTTGATAAAAAAAATTACATATGTCATCAAAAATACGCAATCATATAAAAAAGAAAAGTTTGAAGAAAAAAAACTCCCAAAAGGATGTTTTTCACCAACAATGTATAAAAAATATATATAGATAATATATATAAAGATAAACCATCGCAGGGCGTTGACGTTGTTAATGGCTAACTTGTCAAAGTTTTGTTGAATGTTATTTAAAAAATTCATTCCACATCAAAACAATCGCTAGAGTTTTGTTTATTTTTGAAGAACAATATAAAATATAACATTTTTATTGAACAAATTAATGCCAAGATTAATGTTGAAAATGAACCAGGGAAAATAAATACGCCGTCAGCATCCTCCGCAATAAATACAAATACACCAATTCTTATTAATCATCGTTGAATAAAATCATCATTTACTGGCTTTACTAATGGTGGTTTTATCGATTCCTCTAACAATGATGCATACAAATCAAGAATTATCATCTGAATAAATTTTACAGTCTACTCTAGTATATTATAATTTTTATGTTATAACTTTAGCATATGTCCACATTTTTAAATAAAATTAAAACTTTTAGACATTTAAAATTCTCATAAAACCTGATTTAAACAATTAATTTCTAACTGCCTGAAAAATCAAAACCGTAATATGATACTGGTTTATTTATTACTTGGTCGTTTCAAGCAGGCCAGAGTCATGCAACAAATTTCAATAAACATACAAAAATAAGTTAGACATCGCTGGCATTGCGTAGGTTGATTTCCATTTCCACATTGCTAATGATACCATAGTGACAAATGAACTTGCATTGATCTTCACATCGGACCAGAATGTGCTTTATGTCTGTGAGTAACGAATGATTAAGTAGCATTATGGTCCTATTACATGTATTACTATCTATATCTGCCTAGTACTAGCTTCTATAACAATTTTAAATTTGTATGTAGACAAATTTGTTTGCACTAAAATAACCTTAAATTTGTGTTTTTGTATGTAATTAAAAAAATGATAAGAAATAGCAGATCATCTATCAAATTATCAACTACATTTATACAATTTCATTTTAGTTTCAGTAATAAAAAATACACTTACGAAAATTTTTAAAAGATCCAGATGAGAAAAGATTGATGAAGAAATTGTTTACGGATTATTCGACACAAATTAGGCCTGTGCAATCGCCAAACACTAGCCTGTCAATTTACATGGAGTATGTCATTAAAACTTTACACAACATTGTAGGTTCATTTGTCTTTCAAGTTTAATACGTTTAACTCTTTGAAAATTGTCCTAAATGTCAGTGACAGAGACCTATAAAAATGTTCTGACTTCGACTCATTGATTAAACTTTTCCTGACTTCCCTATTATGGAAAATTTTCCTACTCCGGCTTCCGACACCCGAATAAGTTGTTTTGACTTTTTTTCACCATACAACTTCAGAAAACTTCATGGCTTTTTAAAACAAATGGTTTTTTGCTTCGTCACAAAGTTGCATTTCTCAATTGTTAAGTTTCATGATTGCGTTTAAAAAAGACAGTCTTTATATTTTGCAATTATAAAGTTGAGCTTTAAGTAAGTTTCTTAAATTCAAAATTTGCTTGTTATATATAAATATCAGGAGGTCTTCTACATTTTTTTATACTTAATTTAAAATTTGTGCGCAGATTTCAATCGTAAATTACAATATCATGGATCAAGTTTTAACTGATACTTATATATTTATAAAAATAACATGAACAAATTTTTGTTTAATTTTCATGCCAACTGTTCTGGAAATCTTTTCAAAAACAATAAACTTCAAAAACTTTCAATCATAACGAACAATACGTTTGCATGTTAAGTAAATAGGATATGGTGCTTTGTAACATCAATTATCTCTAATAGCATATTTAAAACAGTTATTTCTATGAGACACAAGCATGAAGTCAGGTTTAATAGATATTAAAAATTCATTCCAAAGTCGGACATAAATTCCGACTCTGGATACTTTTACAATTCCGACTCCAACTGATACAAAATTCTCTGACTTCGACGCTTTGAGACAATCTAATCTACTGTCATATTTTAATTTCTTTAAAGTTAGTCAAGCAGCGTATTTAAACAATTTTATTTATATTTTCTGACACAAAAGAATGAAAAAGATCAAACTATCACAACATTCGGATGGCTCATGATGGTATTCTTTTCAGTGAAGTTCATTTAAACATAATATAAATGCATTTCATTTGTGCTTATCTGCTAATCTAATCAACAATAATTACAGAAATGGATAGATGAATACCTAATTTGGAACATCAGCGAGTACAAAGTAGACAACCTCGTTTTGGAATCTAGCAAAATATGGTTACCGGATCTTCTGGTTAGAAACAGGTGGACACAAAACATGGAGCTCATATTTTAAAAATATAAATTAATCGATTTATTGATAAATTACGTAACGTTCCTAAATAATGTATTCAAAGGAAATTAAAAATTATTCGCTACATTTATTTTGAACAATCTCGACTGCAGTATTGACAATATAAACGGCGAGTTGTTCGGATCGTCGAAATACAAAGCTATCGTTTATTCCAATGGGAGCGTATCCTATGCAACAGCGGGAAAGACAAGTACTTTGTGTGGCCTGGATATGACATATTTTCCGTTCGACACACAATTCTGCGACATACACATTGACAGTTGGACATACACGGACAGTCAAGTACAGATTAGAAGGAAGACGAAAAAACTTGATATATCGAGTTACAGATATAACGGTATATGGGATTTAATTGATACCGAGGTAGACATTTTTTAGTATAACATAAACATTTTCTGTTGAGTTCATTTCTATAGATTTATTAATCGTAGGTGCACCCATACTCAGAATACAACAATTCTCAAATCAAATTTTGTATGCGTTGGAAAAGATGTCCCGTGTATCACATAACAAGCATTCTTATTCCATGCTCAATCATGTCAATAATTACGCTGTTCGTGTTCCTCTTACCTCCTGATTCGGGCGAAAAGATCAGTCTCAGCATAACTGTGCTACTATCTTTTACCGTTTTCCAAATTTCTGTGGAAGAAAAACTGCCAGAGAGATCGGACAACAGACCACTGCTAGGTTATGAAAATTTATTGACCTAGATATAAATTAACATTTACATTAATGAATTTTTGTTTTTAAGCCATTTATATTCTCGCGACGATGGTGTTGACGGCGTTGTCTTTACTGTGCACTATCATCGTTCTTACGCTGCACCATCAAAATTATCACAGTCCTCCTCCAAAATGGTTGAAATGTTTTGTACTTGACTGGGTGCGAAAATTACTTTTTCGTAAAGAACCAATGGCATACCGAAGTTCAAGTGTTCAAATAAAAGCTGCTCAAGAAAAAAACATGCAAGAAGATATATTTATAACTGAATCGAGCAAAACGCACTTGATCGATATGATTGACCTGGATTTGAAAAACAAGCAACCCAGAATTAGCGTGGACGAAAATCAAGACACGTCATTTGTTGATACATACCCACAGGCAGAAGCTAAAACGCAGCATCACTTCTACAGCGAATCGCAGAGAAATACAAATTTGATTTCGAATTTTGCTGACGACATCCTTAGCGACGACAACACGCTCACCCTTACAAACGTAACTCAACACAGATCATCAAACAGCTTCTTTGATTTTCAGAAAATACGCAGACAATTTGGGCATAAGAAGAAAGATTACAGAAAAGAAATGAAACAAGAGGAACACTCAAAGCACTGCGTTAACGCCATCTATATGAAAATGATGAAAGATGCCGACACGGAAAAGATGAAGACAGAATGGATGAGAATCGCCATGGTTTTCGATAGAGTCTTTGGAGTTTTATTCACTATATGCATAATGTCTCTCAACGTTACCACATTTTGCATGCTGATCTTTGTAGCGCCAGATGCCAAACAGAAGATCAGATGTGACCAACATGATCTAGGCTGACAAGCGAATGAACATTAAGTGGAAACATTAATAACAGTCAAAAAATTGTATTAAAACTAATTTTAAATGTTGTTAGTATTAAAATTTTTTGTGTATACAAATTTATTAATACATTAGTACAAAGTAGAATTAATTTATATAATAAAATTTATGTTCTGGCCGTTGATGTAAAATTAAATTAATAAAAAAAATGATAGAAAATCTTAAAATTAAATAGTAATAGTTTTGACATTAATATACAAAGTAATAATACCTAAAGCACCACAAATTCATCCATTTTTTGTATCACTGTTGGCAAAAGCGTTAGTGTTCATTGTATTATTTAAATTTTTTATGTTGTTCATATCACTGCTGTTTGTATGACCTGGTTTGTTCAAATCTTTGTGTTTCAACCTGTGGAACAAAACTGTTAACACTTTGTTGCTCCTTGGAAACATAGAAACCCGTTTGTGCTACACATTCCAACCTACGATAATTTTTTATTCTCTGACTAACATCAGTTACTGGAATCGACTGAATTCTGTTCAAAGGCCAAACTACATGTGTTGCTTTTGAATTAATAAGACCTAAAGGTACCTATATTAGTGAATTGTATTTCAAATATTTTTTAAAGAGAGGAGGAAAGATTAGAAAAGTGTTAACCGGTCCGAAAATGTTGCTGTCGAGACTCTGTTTATGATTGTCACCCTCAACCCAGCAATAACCTTTTGGTACTGTGATATGCTTCTCTTTGTAGTTTATTGTTCTGAAAAATGTTCAAAACCATTAAAACATAATTTATTAAATAATTTACCTAACAAAAACTGACCTTACTATGTCACCTTCTAAAGCAATTATTCTTTTTAAAATTTTTTGTTTTGGATCACTTGGACACCTTGAATGATTTGATATTTTCAATTTTATTAAACAACCTATAAATAAACACTAGTACATGAATGAAACAATTAACTAACGTTAAACACACAACTTCTCCTCGAACAAAATCATAATTTCTATGATTCCATCTATTTAGAAAGACATAATTTATCTCTTTGTAGCTGTCATTTATAAGAGGCTGCCAATAAAGGTATGAAGAAATGTTAAAATATGACTTAATATAGCAAAAGTATTGAAGATACGAATATGTAATTCAAAATTCTTTTACTTCTTAGTAATATTAATACATAATATAATATAAATATTTATTTTTTATATAATACAACACATTACAATATATATTAGTATCTTTCAACCAATGACAAACCACAAATTAACATTAACTTTTTTATGAATCTAATGATAACAATACAGCTCACAGACTCATCACAATCATTATAACTTATATATTATATTACTAATTACTTTCAACATTTGCTTTATTGTTTACTAAATGTAATACACAAATTTCAAAAATTTAAATGTGAGTTTTGTTTGGTTGATTGGAGTCTTGGTGATTTTTAAATAATAATTTAATTAACTTTCAACTAACTCTATCAATTAATATTGTGGATTATTTATTATAAAAAAATTAATGCAGTTGCAGGCACATTGGATAGATTACTTTTTTTATAGATAGATGGAGTTATTAATATTAAATTAAAATTAACAGACCCTCATGGAGCTACCTTCAACGCGGCAGACGTAGCCACAAGTGTCAAAGAGGGTCAAAGTGGCAGGGACAGTAAATGCCACCACTTTTATGACCGATTTCAACATAATTTCCCGCGGTTGTATTTAGAATAGAAACAAAAACAATCACAAAATGTATGTTATACAAGCACTAAATAAAGAAAAAATTGTTCCTAGATCTATGATTTTGATACATTTTTTCAACAGCGTATGGACGATTTTAAATAGTTTAAAAAACAAAGATCGCGAAAAAAACCAAGAACCGAATTTTTACCAGATGAGCATTTGCTGTGAACATTTATTTAATACACTTTTCGTGTGTTGGGCTCTATTGTATATCGGTGTATGTTGTAAATTGTCAACTGCCTCGGGTTTGTCAAAGTTTTATGTCCGCTGGTCCATAGAGGTATGAAAAAAGAGTATGTGCAAAGACGGTGCCAAAGCCAAAGCTAGAACCTACAAAAAACAGAACGGGGAGAACTACCAGCAGAAGACGAGTGCTTTTGTTTCTAATTCACCAGTCAACTCGCTGTGATATTGAATGCTGTCAATTGATAAGTAATATTTGACTTTTTTATAAAAAAAATTCCTGTCCCTGAATAAAGATGCTACACAAATAACCATATTCCATATACAAGCCTAATATTATATGTCTAAAAATTAATGTCAGCAAAAATAACAAGATAAAACGTATAGGCCTACAGATAGTTATATAGCATAAAATTAAAAGGAAATATTCATCGCCCTCAACGATTAAATGAATTTCATTTTCACACGGACTAAAAATAGTGTTGTGCATTTGCGTGTGTGTGTGCATGTGAGTGTGTGTGTGAGTGAGTGTGTGTATATATTATTCAAATGCATGCATCATTGTTGATGATACTACACTGAGAATATGTAACTCCGGTTGCATTGCACGTATATTGTATACATACCATGTGTGTAGAATAGAATATATATTTATACCATGAGACTTTAACTTGCCTTGAAAATATTGATGAGGATTTGTAATTTTTAAAAATGCAGCAAAACATTTTCTATTCTTACAAGATTTAAATATGACAAAAAAATTATGAAGCGCTTCAACATTAAAAATATTTTAAAATAAACGTTTTTGATTCCAGAAAGCGTTCTATTCCGCCGAAATTTGAGCTACAGTATATTCTTAAAAAAATTGTTTAAAAATGGTTGGTTTCATTTTTTTGTAACAAGAAAGTTAATATTGTAGTTGAAACTTTTTGTTTCACCAGACATATTTGTACGACCCGACTGCAAAACATTTCATCGATGGATTGGCACAATCGGCGCCGACTTACGGATTGTTGGTTCCTAATAGGTTGTTTGTCGGCGGTCTCGGTGGCGATGTTGGTACTTCACCAATCTTTTTTATTTTTTTTCATTATTTACCTTCATAAGAACAAAATTTTTACGACCGGTTTTTTATTTTTTGACTAATTTTGAATAGGAAATTATTAATTTTAAATTGTCTTTTTTTTAAATTGAAAAAAAAATTTAGCTAGAACTAAAAAAAAGCGTAATTTAAAATAGTGAACCCAATTAATTAATAATTTCAATTGATTAATAAAATGAATTTAATTGTAAATGAAATCAAATTTTAGATGTTTTATTAAGTTCATTTTATATTTATACTATAATAAATAATAGCATTCAAATTAATAATATTGTGAATGTATCACTTTATGATTACTTTAATTACAAATTATTACATTTTTTCATTTATTTGAAAAAGGTAACCGAATCTGATTTGAAAAGTTTTTTCTCAAGCTATGGCCCAATAAGACATTGTAAAATTATGCTAGACAACAATGGCATGAGTAAAGGGTAACTAATTTTGGATTTTAAAAAATGTCATATTTGACGTGTTTATGCACATATCAGTTAGCAATATTAATTAACCTTTCTAGTTTTATTTTGTCAAGTTTTATGTTTAAACCTTTTTTCCATCAAATAAACTAAGAATAAACTAATCAATGTATGATTTAAATATGCAAATCTTGAAATGTTTTTATAAGTTTCAAACAAACTTTTTTATTATGTTTTTGCAGTAGGAAAACTACTTTTGTGTTAACTTTTAAAAAATTTAAGGTGTTTTAATAAAAATTGTATCGTGTTACTAAATCTGTAAAGCAAAAACATTTTTACACGGTGGTTCATGATAATAAGACATAGCAACAGTCATGCAGTATAGTTTTTGCATTTAGGATAAGTTTTTGGTTATTTCAGTCAGCATGCAATCAGTATGTTAGTGAATTTGGATACCAATAGATGTTTTTAAAAACATTGATGCCATGTTATTTTCATTGTTTATTTGAAGGTATGGTTTTGTTACATATGCCTGTGCTGATGATGTTGAAAAGTTATTGAAGAAGGAGGTAGCTATTGTTGTTCATTTTCATTTATTTTTTACCATTTTCCAAATTGATGATAACTTCAAATTCAAAGGGTGAGCATGTTGTTTACAAAGATCGTAAATTGAATATTGGACCTGCTGTTAGGAAGCAGGTTGATATCATATCCTTTTGTTGTGTTGTAGATTATTTTTCTTTTCCAACTTAATGTTTGTGCATTATGTATAAATTTAAAAGTTGTTCTATAAACTTTCCACATTTTTCAAATTATTGTTTTTTGGAAAAAGTATGATTTCATAAAAACTCATAATTTAATTTACTTTGAACATTTTCAGTCAGTTGTCCCACCAATGTTTGGTTAGTAATAAATGATAAATTTGTTATAAAGTCTTCAAGTTTTAACCTTAAATTTTTTAATTTAACCTCAGCATCATTAGCACATGCAACTATGCCACAATTACTTGTTGAGTCATCATTTTTTAATTAACATAGTATTCATTTACAACAATCACAGCAGCAGCTCCTACAGCAGCAGTAGCAGCACCGCAAGCAACTACAGCAGCTGCCATGACAGCCACTTCCTTACTGGCAGGCTCAAACATTGTGTACATCAACGGTGTGCCGTGTATCATGCAGGGTGGAGTTCCACCCCTGGCCTCTCCACTCCCCACACATCAGGCTCTTTCTTCTACTTCACCGGCCACTACCATTCTTCCGATTCCCCTCCATGATGGCTTGGCTTACTCACATGGGGTTGGTTGCTGTAATGCAAGTCGCTTGTAATGTCAATTTGTTACTTTTGTATGATTTTGTATGTTATGTAATTTATCATTAACTTATGTTTTTGTAATTTCACATGTAACATGTGCAATGAGATTTTGTGCATGAAATGAAATGAAAGAAACAAAGAAATAAATATTGAAAAAAAAAATAAAAGCTTAGTTTATAAATATAGGTTTTATCCTAAAATAATTTAATCAGTATATCAGTATCTATTCATGCATATATGTCTATTGGCATTGTTAAATTCAGGTTATCTTAATGTAACCAGAAATATTTGGATAGCAGCAAAATGTTATCTTGGGCGAAATTAATGAGATTGCGTATCTTAGTATGGTAGTATGATCATAAACATTTGGTGGAAGCATTTGGAAGTGTGCGTATGCTGCCTAGCAAGATTGCTTAACAACAACAACTCTTTCTTCTGCCTGCTACTTTTTATCTCAACTTCTTGCATAATACTATAAAATGCAATCACTATTCAAGCTCTATAAACAAACTTCATACCATCCTCTAAATATTTTTTGCAGAGCAGTGTGTGTGTGTTTTGTAATTGTGTGTGTATGTGTGTGTGTATTTTAACTACATTTCATCTAGATGCTATTCAAGCGTTTGATATGTCAATTAATTTAACCAAAATATCTTTGGTTATGGTATGTAATTATGTTTGTTTGGTATATAGTATGTTTGCTTGTTTGTTAAGTATGTATGTATGAAGTTTTGCATGAATGTTCATATGTATGCAGCTTGCCGTATTTGCTTGTGCAAATGTATGAGTGTTTAAATGAGGTGTATATATATATATATATATATATATATATATATTAAAATTTCATCAGCTGCGCTGTGATTAGGTATTGTTCTTATTTAGATCTATGGCAATAAAATGCATTTTTTTCTAGGATAAAATAAATAATTTCCTCTCTCTCTCTCTCTCTCTCCATATATATATATATAATATATGCATTATATATGTATTAATTATGGTCTTTTATCAGTATGTATATATATATTTATATTTATATGTATCTTGCGCTTTGAACAAGACAACTGCTGTTTAATAATAAGTTAAATATATATTTATAGATAATTTATGTGTATGTATGTAGGTATGTATGTATGTATGTATGTATATGTATATATATATATATATATATATATATATATATATACATGAATGCATATATCATTCTATATACTTGCTTTATAGTTATGATTCCGGGATCATTTGATATCTGAAGAATAATAAACAAACGCATAAAAAACAACATTGAAAGTCAGGAAGAAGTGATGTGCTGATAATAAAATGATGATGTTAGTATGGTTATAGTAGTGATCCTGGTAGTAGTAGTAGTTATGATAATGATGATCATCATGGTTTTAGACTTGAAATTTGTGATGTTTGTTTGTCGGTTTGTTTATTAGCGGTTTGTTTTAGTTATTAGTTCATTTCAATGGTGTTTAAGATTGTTGAGTTTTGTTTTTTGCCTAGATCTGCGTATGTGTATATTTTATGTATCTTTTCATTGCATCAAACAACTGCAAGACATTAATAATTACACATAATATAAGTGTATGTTATTGGCAGGATTGAACCTGCTTGGATGTGTATGAGTGTGTATCTCTGTACAAGTTTTTATATGCGTATTTGTGCGCGCGCCTGTGTGTGTTGTATGTTTAATAATAGATGTTTTCAGCTGTAATGTTTATTTAATATTTGTTGCATATTATTTTCTGAACAGATCAAAAGGCTTATGTTGTAGGTCAGTTGAATTGAAAAGAGGAAATAATGAAATTTTATAATTCTCATTTATTCATCTTTTTTTATTTAACTTTAATTTTCATTTAAACTTCTCATTCTATATTTGCTGGAATGAAGTTTTGTTCCATTTTCTGCTAATATGAAAGTTATTTCACAGCATAGTTTGTAAATAATAATCACCTGGAAGATATCATTATGTACTTTCATGAGTTTATTGTTAGGTTTCTAGATGTTGTGTGTGTTGTGTTTTACTGAATGTTATTCAACTAATTTGTTAATTTTCACAGTCTGAACTATATTTTTTTTAAAAGTTGAATTAAGTTTAATGCAATCACTCGGTTTCGACATTTGTTTGATTAGGAATTCTTCTGTCTAATGCCTTGAGTTTATGTTCAAAGTTAAATGAAAATTTCATTTAGAAGTATTCTATAAGTTTTTTTTATTTGTTTTCAATCTTTTTTGGATTTTTCATTTTTTTCTGAAATTAAACTAAATTTTTACATGTTTTCATTTAATATGAAAAATTTATTTCTATTAACAGTAACATTATTATTTATTATTATTATTATATTATTATTGTATTAATAGCACTAGTCAGTTGTATTATTGTCATCATATCACATTATGAGCAAAAGTTTGGATTATCCATTATAGAATTGAACAAAAAAATCACTGGCGACAAATATGTGCTTGGGTGAATGAATTATGTAACAATGGAGGGATTAGGAATTAATTTCATCTCTGTAGTGAAACTTTAAACAGAGTTGAGTGCTGAATAATTTAACATTTGCATGTAACGAATTTCGAGTATCATAAACATTTAATTAATCATAGCTGTTTTAGTTATTGTTCTCGTTTGTCTGCTATTTTGAATTTTTGGTTTTGTTATTTTTGTTATTTTATCCGTGGTTCAGTTCTTTTCTTCTATTTTTCATCTTCTGATTTGCATGACTTTTTCATCTTGACAATGCAGCCCTGGCAAAGACAATGCTTTTTACTGTAACATTCTATGTTTTTTTACGTTTCTTATTTGATTTTAATTCATTTTTAATCATTCCTTTTGATTACTGACAGACGGAACGAAGATATTGTACTATGCACAAAGAGAGATGATGTATATACATGTGAGTAACCGTAATCGCACACTCAAAGTATATTTAGTCTCTTTGTCTTGTTCAGTTAGACAGCGTTTGAACCACGTCTCAGCAACATTGTTTTTAAAAAACAACAACTCGGAACTTTTACTGATCGAGCTAGCGTTCTCACTGACTATTTAATTGCTACAAAGTTGTTATCCATCCATCCATCGATTGATTAATAATAATATATTCTAATTAAACATCTCACAGATAATATTATTATTAACAAATTCATTGCTTTCTATACTTCTCAGTTTACAATCGACCGTCCTTCTGTTTCAAATTTTTAACGCACAACTAATGAAGACAATCAATGAAAAGATCATGTACATTCATTTCTATTAGCATTACATATTAGATAAAGTTTTTTTTTTATAAAATCATGGTGAAGATACACTTTCTTTTTTCCTTCTTTGCACACATCACATTTTTAGTGTATGTTTGTTTATCTGATGGTTTGATCGACTGATTGATTGATTGACTGACTGACTGATTGATTGATTGATCTGTTTTTTCTCGTGTGATTGATGTTGTCTCTATAGAAACATCCGAAAAACGAGGTCTTCCTTTTAATCGAAAATGAAAAGTTTCGTTCACGTTCTTCATTAGTTAATATTCATTACCACTTAATCTTTCGTGCTCATTTAGAGGTAGGACCACTTGAAATCTACATTAATACGCACAAAGTTTATATATTATATGTATATATATTAGAGTTATGTATATATAGTGATTCTTTTCCAAGGACAATGATATCAAAAATTAAATAATGTTGATAGCCTCCCATAGTTCCCAACGCTTCCCAGCTGGTTCCTGGTTATTCCATGGTTATGTTTCAGCCACAATACATTGCTAACAACAGCACCAGTGTGGAGAGCATTAGTGTTAGCAACAACAACAGCAGCAGCAACAATAGCAGCATGTACCTACAAACTGCTCAGGTAGTTCTTGTTTATCAATTTATTGGCTTTTATTGCATGCACATCAATTTTTTGCGATTGTTTATAGCAATATAATAAGATTATTTTATTATGTTTTTGTATTTATTTCGTGTTGAACTACATAAAAAAATATGAATTAAAAGATTCATTATTTTCTTTTTCACGTGACTCAAGATGAATCCATTGAGTGTTGGCAACAAAATTCATTATTCAGAATCTCTATCACCAGGCATACACATTGATGCTAACACTGTAAGTTTATCTGATTGTAGGGTCGACACGTCATATATTGTATAAATGATTCATAATCAGTAGGAATTGTTTAGTGTAATTGTTGCATACCTCTTATTCATCAAGGCTAATGTATTTAAAGTTGAATTTGAAATTTTTACATCAATGGTTGTCGGTTGTTGTGCCTATGAATTGGAACAATGATGAATCATTTTAATTAAAGTTGTCAATTTTCACTTGATGATAATGTATAGTTTTTGGTTGATAATGTTTATATTGTGACAAAACAGGGCTTACAGCATTTACTTACAAACACAGCCAATGGACCGACGACATTCATACAAGGATTCATGCCACAACAACAACATCCGCCACAAATTCAGCAGCACATACATCAACAGCCACAGCAGCACCTAATGCTCCCAGCTGCAGCTGCCCTAATGAAGCCGTCGCCATCAACAACTGGTCTCATTTCTGCAGGAATTGTTGATCCTAGTTACTTCCCACAGGCGCCATATATCATACAGTCACAGCAATCAAAGTCTCACTTTCAGCAGGCACAAGGTGAGCTGGCCTCTCATTCTTTTGCGGCCATGGATTCTATACAAAATCACCAGTTTATACAACATTTGCAACATAAACAACAAATCGCGTTTGCTGCTAATGAGGTGAGCAAGACTAATCTAAGTTTATAATGTTTTATTTTCATAAATCTTCAAAACAAAATAGCATTAAATTTATTACTATTCAGTCCTTACCAGGTCACCAAGTCCAGTTTATTGAACTATCTCAAGTCATGCCAAACCACAACAACAACAACAACAAAAACAGCTCGATTCACAGCAACAGCAGCAACAACATGCACAACGACACTGCAACGTTGGCAACTCAACAACCAAAAGTAGCAGGAGTAAAAAGATTGCTTTCTCAAAATGTTTCCACGACAACCATCCAGCAAGCAATGACGTCGTTTGAAGCACCAGCTGTTAAAATTCTAGCTGGCCAATCACAGCAGAGAATAATAACACAAGCCTTTAATGACAACATTGATGTAGTAGGAAACGATGCATCACAACAAACTGACTAACTCATTTTTGAATAATGATTTTGTTCGTTAGTTTGTATGACATTATCATTAGAATATACTGGTCTGATATGCATATATTGATTACATCTAGGACTCATTGACACTGTTGTTTAATATTCGTTGTTTTACGGTTTCCATTTTATTTTATTTTTTTAATTCTTACCTCAAACTTTTATCTCTTCACAATGACACGATCTAGCAGTTAACTTTTTCCATTTTACTTCATGATGTTTTATATTTGTTTTATTTTATTTATAGTTTTGTTTGTTCTACTATTGAAGAAATAGACTGATTATAGTTTTTTTTAGTAATGATAATGTAATACATGAACTCGTATTTATTAAAATTTCACCACAAAACATCAGCAACTACTATCTTTATAAGTTAATTTTTCATCCCTAGATGTTTTCGTATTATGATTTAGGTCGTGACTACCACACTCGTTATAATCATCATCACCTTCATCAATCAATGAATTGTTATCATAATTCTTACACTCAAGATATCCATTATCATCATAAAAATGCTCACTTGCTTCGTAGTCAATCACTGCTGATTGGGTTTTGCAGACAATTAAATTATCATTGTTGTTATCATTAGCAATTTCCACTTTATTTTCATCATCTTCTTCATAAAGAACTGGCGTGTTTGTATGTCTGTATATAATGATATCAAACTTTATTAAAATGTTATTAATTTTTTTCAAAAAACATTTTTCATTTCATAAATTAAAATTTTTTGCAAGTATCTTATCGTTTTTTTTTATTAAATGTCAAAAAACATTTATAACTTCTTTTATCAAGCGTAAGCCTCTTTAGATCACTATATAATAATACCCAAGAGTTGTAATTAATCACTAACATGGCGTATGTATAATGTTTATTCAGGGTGGGATTGTTGTTGTGAAGTTTAGTTTTCTGACTGACGTTAGTGGCAGTTGATACTTTAGGAAAAACATCTCGTTGTATATTCAACTGGTTACTGGTTTCTGATCTCTCATTGACATCATTCTTCCTAATAATTCGATCGTTACTGTTGTTATTGTTATTAATATAAGCAATTTTGCTTTTGTCCATTGTGGGCCAGCTGTGTTCTCTTTTGATGGCATTTAGCTTTACATACTTGTTAAGGTTATTAATATTGCTATTGTTATTATTATTATTGTCGATTACATTGTCAGAGTTAATGTCATCCGACTTTCCTCTCACTGGGGTAGGTTCTAATAGAAGTGAGCTACTGCTTTTGGCACTGCTACTGTGTGCAGATTTAATGAGAAGATTCTTGTTACTTAACGTATTTTGGTTATCACGAATCAGTTTTGGTAGGAAGTGTCGTTTTGCTGTTGTCATTCTGTTCTGCAGTTTGAAGTTAAGTGGAGCCTGATTTTGCGCTGTACTGTCCAGAGATGCATGTCTTGATTTCAATGAGATGTTACATTTTTCCTTATATCTATTGTATCTAGATGCATATGGATACAAATTCTCGAAAATTGTATCACCGTTTTCCTCATCATCGTCACCGCCACCAAAGTCATCACTGAACGTTTTTTTAATGTTCAGTCCTCGAATTTTAATGCTGCTAGCATCATCACCCCCTCCAAATAACTTGCATTTTTTGGCTCTTTCGGTTCTAGCGTTGCTCTTACTAGAATTATCTGAACTGCTGCTGATTAAATCCGTTTGCAAATTTCTGCGTTTGTAGAAATTATTTCATAAATACACATTGCTAGAATACTTGCAAAAATTTAAAATATGTTGAATGGTGCAAACTTTTTTTTTAATAGCCGGCTGATGAGAGAAGGATTAAGCGCTGTTTGATCAGCAGGACAAGTTGCAGACCAGTGAATTAACCAGGCATCAATGCATTCTCTATGGAACCATGTCTTGCAACATGGGACCATCCTAACCTCGTGTCCTTCTTTCAAAACTATGTTACAAATTTTACATAGGCAGCCACCCTTGTTATTATTTGATTGACTGAGCAGAGGATCATTGGTTTTCAGTCGTCGAGTTGGAAATGAGATGAGATGGCATTCTTGTAGATCGTTGGCAGCAGTGTTTGAGTTGTATGTGCCTGTTGACAGCTGACTGTTGGCATGTATATTTGTAAATTATTTTTTAGTTCTTTCATTGAGTTAGTAAATCAAAATATTTTAATGCTGACTCACTCATCTAACAGCAGTAAGGTATCATAATCGGCATCAACAATATCTCTCGTCAATATATCATTTAAATGAAGTGATCTCAATTTTATTATGAAGTCTCTATTGCAGACAGGCTGCCATCTTTGATTCATTTTCTTGCAACGTTAATTTTATCGTTAGAGCTGTTAATGTAAAAGATGTTTTTAAAATAGTTATTTTAATGCTTACAGCTCTGTAGACAAATTGATGCTCGCCGTGAATTTCTGTCTTGAAGCATGGCTGACATAAAAAAAAGTCCGTATCACAAAAGTCACACCTGTTTCATGACAACAGAATAGCAGATAAATTTCATTGTAAGGAATCCTTTTATTTTTATTTTATTTGGTTGATTTAAAAAAACTGAAGAAAGTGCCTCAAATGGCAAGAGCAGAGCATCTACGTTACAACATACAGAGATAAACAAGTTTCCAGTAAAATGGCCACGATATTAGAGAAAAAAAAACAAAAATAATCATGCATCTCAAAGTTCAATGAACAAAATCTAATTCAAAATTGAGAATTTAAAATATTCAATTGAAAATAAAACCCACTTATAACATTTCCCTATTATTGGAGATGCACCACAGGAGTGGCAGTAGGTTCTGGAATGTTCCATCATGTGATTTTGGTAGTTAGTCAATCGAGGTCCAAACAATCTATACTTTGATTCATTAAGCAATGTAATTGGACCAAAGTCTGTTCTACAGAAAGGACATTCAACAGTACTGTCTACTTTTCTGTGGGCAGCCCAAACTCTCATGCACTTGACATGAACACTGTTGCCACAACCATATCTAACATTAAATAATTAAAATAAAACAATCTACAAATTGAATGTGAAAATAATTTCAGTACACAAAAGTTCGTAGCGTAATTTTACCAGTCTATTTAGTATAAAAACTAAATTGTTTGACTCTAAATGCATAGTCACCTGCAAAAAGTAATTTTTTGAGGACTACCAAGCAAATCTTCTTGGCATATAGGGCAAGAATCCTCGTCTGTTATTTCTCTTTGTTCAATCAGCTTGGGTTTAATTTCTGATTTAAATGTTTCTGTTTTTAAGTCTTTAGACGTTCTGCTTTTTGATTTAGCATTTTTTAACAACATGTTGACATCTCTTTCGCAGAGACCGAGTTGCCAAGATACTTCAACAATAATACAATCAAATTAAATTAAATGAACAAAATATTTTTAGACAGAAAACCAAAAAAATCAACTTTACCTGGATCAGATGGCGATAATTTGAATTTTTTCAACAGTATCCAACACAGATGCTTGCAAAGTTCCGAACTGTTTTTCATAAAATTTGTACAACTACATGTGTGTCTTTCGCCAATTAATACCTTTTGAACTTTCTGATCATTTTCTTCTTTTAACAAAAAACCAGTGGGTCCAATATCTCGAAGTATGTAGATGGTAGCATCAGCTGCCTCCTGCTGGCGGACAACAACCAAATCAGGGCACACACGTCTCCAAAGCGGTGCCATGATGGTGATAATTAATAATAATAAGTAATATGCAACTGTGTTACAGTTTAATCCCGTAACTATGAGCTGATTTAATTTTGAATATAATACAAATCATAAAAAAAACAACCAATTACAGAAAAAATAAATTTTAAACATTCAAACTTTAAGAGATCAAGTTATGCTGTATGTACAAGCGGTTTCTATGGAAACAATATATATATATATATATATATATATATATAAACACACATACACATATATAATATATATACATTATCTAGCACTAAATCTATGATGTGAACGCGTAGCGTAGAAACATCAGCAGTCGTTAACTGGCGAATTGCTGCGAATGGTTCTTAGCTGCTGTAGATGCTGTCGGCTCACGAATTTTTTTCACAAAGCTTCTCCACTCTAATCTGCCATTTTGCATGGATTAAACTCGATCGGTTAATCAGCAGGTCTTGTTATCCGTCTTTTTTTTGCGTGTATCGTTGAGTTTACCAGAAGTTGGGCCAAAATTTTCGAAACAACTTGTGCGGTAGTTGGGATTCGTTCATTTTGCCTTATCATTTCTTCAATGGTTGGTTGATTTGAACATCTTACCGGATTTTTTTGCTTGTTCGACGGTTCGAAAGGGAAACTCTAAATATTTTTCTGAGGCAGTAATAATAAATTAAATGACCATTTATGCCGTTTTCAAAGAGCAAAGAAAGCGCAAAAGAAAATTTGGCGTATTTAAACATGTAATACGACAGTAGTGAGAACGAGAATATAGCAGACCGGACCTCTTAGGTTTAGATAAAAAATGACTGATAAACACTTCGAAAATCAATCAGATTGAGATTAGTATACATGGATATATATATATATATCCATGTTAGTATGAGAAAAGTACAAAGCAGCACTAGTACAAAATCACAATATTTATGATAATAACAACGATTGCGATGTCGTTCAAAACAAGCCTTTCAGACTATTCAAGGTGAATTTAAAACAATTTTTTTTTCCGAAAAACAAATTTAAAATTCTAAAATTAATCAAAAAACATTTCTAACAAAATCATTAATACAATTCTGATACCATTTCACAGCTAATCTTTTTTAAACAAAATATGTGTTCAACACTTAAGATGCGAAGTTAAAAGCAAATTAACTAGCATACACTAGTAATGTTACAACTATTTGTTAAAAAACTAAATATTAATTTTTTTCAAATAACATTAACTAGACGTTGAATCTGAAGAAACAACTCCTGCCATTTTGTCATAGCTCCCAAAATCACTTGATGTGGCACCTTTCAAATTGTCATACTGAAAAAGCAACCCACCAACACTATCTTTATCACCTGTTTTGCGCAAGCTATTGCGCAAATTATCAACACCAGCTTTCAAATATGAAAAATCTTTACATTTATTCTTCTGGTTTAATGGTTCAGCTGTCCCCTTTTTTATATCACATTTGTTATTGTTCTTGCTTTCAATTAAAGATGCATAAAGCACATTTACTTCAGTTTTTTTATTTTTGGTAGTCGAAATAAGTACTGACTTCACATTGTCATATTTTAACATATCAATGTCAAAGTCACTTGAAGCATTTGAGTTTTTAACAGTTTTTTCATTCTTTTCAATTAAAGAAAAATTCACATTTGTTTTGGGAGCCTCTGGTGAACTTATTGATACAGCAGTTTGTTTTGTTAAATAACCTGGGTCAGCATTGAAAAAATCCAACCCATCCTTATCAATATTGGAATTGTCATCACCTGAAATGTCAGTAGCATTTATAACTGAGTTCTTCTGTTTATCAGTGGGACAAGGACTGCATAAAAACTTACAATTATCATCAGTTGCAATGTCAAAAGAAGCATCACTAATTGATATATAGTCGTTGTCACCTGATTCATTGATCTTCACAAATGAATCATTTAAATTTCTTTCCTCTGACTTTTTCAGGTTCTTTTCAGAATCTACACCAGCTCTTGTATCATTTTTTTTCTTGACAACGTTAATTGTTATAGGTGATCCTGAAATTGGAAGATCATAGAGTCTAACATTTAACAGATGAGTTCCAAGTTGAGTGGGCTTATAATGAATAAAATATGACCCATTACGTTCATCTGACAATCTTATACCTGGCAAAATTATTTCTTGTGGATCTATGATGGCTACGCTTAAATGGTGGATCAACCTTGGATGGTAGGATGCCTGGAATTAAATGACAAAAATCTAACTTTTAACTACCAATTATATTCAAGTTGTTAAAAAAATAATTTTAAAAATAACAAATTATTTACATTTGTATGAAGGTATATAAGTTCATTTTTGTTGACATAGGCTGTAATCTGTGAAGGATTTTCTGAATCCTGTTTCATTGAGACAACTGCAATTTTGAATGGATCAGCCTGATAATATTTATTGAAACAAAGGTCTGAGCTAAGCTGATCCGTCAGTGGTACAAACTTAAAGTCTGCTGATGAAATTCCATTTAGAGTTATTGATTTTTTGAAACTTCGTAAATTTTCCAAGTAAGTGACACCTAAAGCAATAGTCTTGGGATTTGATGGGGTATCTTTTATCATCATATTCAACTTTAAGCCTTCATCATTCAAAGACTTTAATATTTCAAGCTGGTTGTTCAAATATGTTTCTTCTTGTTGAAAGAAAGTGTCGAAAGAACCTTCAGATTCTTTACACATCAAATATAATTGATTTTTCAATTTATCAAAAAAGTTTTTTATGTCAATTTTCACTTCCGACTTTTTATTTTCAAATAATTCTTTCATTTTAACAATTTCGCTTAAAAATTTTTCGTTTTCACTTATGGCGATCATCAACTCTTTACTAATCGGAGAAACGGGCGCCATTGTAATTGCAAATTTAAAATATTTAAATTATGATTCGAAGCGGAAACTTCGCCACGACGCGATAAATGTTCAAAAGTTCGACCAGAGATATTTCAATCATAGAAAACATAGAAAGTATGGCTAGATTTAACTTACGGAATGCGTCTAGAATAAGATGTTCTATGGTTGAATTCAACAGGAGCGTCATCCCCTTTTTAAATGTTGGAGGCAAAAAACTCTCCCCTTAGGTCAATTTTTTTAGTTATTTTAGAATTTTCATTTTTCATAAAAATTGAACTCGCTAAAATTCCCATTATCAAGTAATCAAATGAAAAGTAAATTATAAAAATCATCCATTAATTTTTATTATCATCGAATTTCTTGTTCATTTTCATTCTTTGAGTGCACGTGATATATCATACGGTATTTAAATGGTCCACACGGTCAAACACAAAATAAGCATTCACTAAATCGATAAAACGTATTTGGCTACAACATTCAAAGACCAATGAGGATTGGTATGGATAAATTGCATTGTGTGGCGTTTAAAAACATTTCTTAATATTCACTAATAACTAATGAACCCTTCTTTAAGCAAAACAATTGCGTCATCAAGTTTTTATAAGTAAACAATATTTTTAGCTACTAGCTTAAAAAAACACCAAATTGAAAACACCGAGCGAGCAATTTTTAAAACGGATATATCATTAAATGTAGATGTTACATTCATAAATTAAACAGAAGGTAAAAAAATTAATGACTCTGTAAATGATCGTAGATCATGCGTCTTGTCGATAACGATGACTTCAAAAGTAACACAAGTTCTACTAAAGTTTTTGATTATCCGCCAAGGCTGCTCAGATATGATATTTTGGCAGCCAAAGAAACGAGGAAACAAGGTGGTAATTTAATCGTCGCCTCGCCCTATTTTGTTTGCAACGATCAAGATCTGTGTCCGTTTCATCCTGTTACTAATTTTATAGATAACAGTTACACCAACGATAGTTTCGTATTTTCGAAAAATAATGAGCAATTAAATTCACAAATGCAACCAGCATTACAACCAGAAGCGCAACTGCAAGTAGCATCTCCACAAACTTTTTTGTTGAATACTCCAACTAAAATTACATTTAATAGTCCGTTGATGCCTATTCCTTTACTGCAGATCGACTTTGAAAGTAATGTACAAAATAACGATGCATGCAATGATGTTTGTCCTTGCAACTATTTGGTAAGCAATCTATCGTCAGAACCTGAACCAATTTGTAATTTTTATCCAGGTGAATTTGTGGAAAATTGTCAATCTCCATGTTGTTCGTCCAAAAGTTTTTCTGTGAAAAGCAAAAATGATAAAGAAAGCATTCCACTGTCGTTGTATAAAGTTTTAGAAAGAAGAAAATGCAGTTCGAAAATTGAAAAAAGAAAAACATGTGACAAATTTAAGGTACTCAAATCAGATGACTCCGATAACCAGGAAAATAATGTCATAAAAAAATTGTCATCTGTTTTAAAAAATGAATCCAACTCAAAACGAAGACGCTCGAAATCAAGTAGACGTTCGTCCAGTAGAAGTCGTAAAAGGTCTTTGAGTAATAGACGTAGCAGTTTATTGAATACAAATGACTCCAAAACAATCCATAATTTTGTTGAAAACGAACTTAAATCGTTAGACAACGAAAATAACAACAAAGACGACTTGCCGAAAAGTGTCAAAAGAGGAGAACTTGTAGATTTGTTAACGAAATTATTCAGAGCATTGAAACGTGAGTCAGATGAATCAAGCAAAGGAGTTCATTTGGTTAAGAAGAGGAGCAGATCAAAAAGCAAGTCGAGAGAGAAAAGTACGGAGGAACTAATGATGGAAAAGCAGAAGGAGGAACACGAAGAAGCACTCAATCTACTTAAATCGTTACTTCAAAAGAAGAAGTTGACAAAAACACAAGTTAGTTTTTGTTAGTATTTTTTAAATAATTTTGTTTTCATTACAATGTTTTTCATTAAATTTTATTTAATGCAATAAAAATTTAGGGGACTGGTTTAGATACCGCAAAAAATGACCTTGGGAAACAAGTTCTTTTAAAATATACAAATGCCATAAAAAAATGTGAAGACGACAGAAATACAATAAAAGAAGTTGATGAAATAATAAAAAAATGCAAATTATCGCGTTTGGGAAAGAGTGAAGATAGTTTTAAATGTAACCAATCAAAAGAGCAAATTCAACTGGAAAAATATCAAGCAGAGCAAGAAAAAATAATTCAAAATCAGAAAGTAAAAGCTATAAAACAGAAATTTTTACAACGTGAAAAAAATCAAAGTAGTGCAAATAACAATAAAATTTTAGATGACGAATCATGGCTCTCATATTCAGATGAACCAATTATTGTCGACGAAATAATACAAGATCAACCGAATGATGTGGCATCAAATAATTCGATTTTGGGGGAAAAAATGCTTCAAAAAGATTTAAATCTACAAAAATTTCCTGGACGAAAAAAAATATTGTTTTTGAACAATGAGCATAGGCAACAAATACTACAAATCTTACAAACACCACAACAAAATCAAGACAAACGTGATTATCGGCAAAAACAATTTTCACCTGAACATCACACAGCCCGCCAGCAATCCTCATCACTTCAACAGCGATCGTCGAAACAACGAAAATTGCGGGAAACGTCACTTTTGAAAAGCAACTCTCCACAAAATGTGACCTCAGAACAAACATTGGCAGATGAACATACGTTAGGTGAAATTTGCAGCTTGCAGACATTACAAAATCAAGCACATCAGCAGCATCAACGTTTTCTACAAGTTGCAGGCGTAAGAATGGAAGAACAAATATTAAAAAGACAAAATTCCAAGCTAAAGTTACCGCGGAAAGAAACAGGCCATTATGAACAGGAGCCATGTCTACAAGAGAATCAACCAATGTTACAACAGTTTGAGGAACAAAAATTATCACCAGCACGACAAATCACACTGCGACAGCAAATACCAGAGCTCAAACAATTACATGACCAGCGACTACCATATGCGCAGCAACAACAATTGTTCCACAATCAACAGCATATACCACAGAAACAACAATTGCATTACGACCAACAAATACTACGGCAACAACACCAATTACATCAGCAAGAAATACCTCAGCAACAACAATTACATCAGCAAGAAATACCTCAGCAACAACAATTACATCAGCAAGAAATACCTCAGCAGCAACAATTACATGAGCAAGAACAGCAATTGAAACAAAAGCAAGTTGTTTGTCGCTCTCAGGCAACATCAACGCGGGAACTTAATGGGACCCCTCAAATAATCTGTGAACAGTTTTCAGGCTCATTTGCAGAAGGTCAAGAACTGAGTCACAATCATATTAAAAGCTGTAAAATGCTGTCTCCGAGCTTCAATACTTTATCCAACAACTTATCAGCTTCGGAAACAAACGCAAACAAACTCCCGACCGACTTCTCATGCGATTGTCAAGTGAATAATGAACATTTGGTTCAATCTGAAAATTTTCACGCTTCATCAAAAAACTATCAAAATGAAAAGGAAGATGCTCACGTTCGAGTACCAGCGTGTGTTGGATGCCACCGCTTTCAAAAAATTTCCAATCTGCCTGGTTCATCTATCCGATCAAATCCTCAAAATTATGCGCAATCATTTATAGGGCACCAAAATATCCAGCAGCATAGTTTGCTAAAAATTCACAAAGAGCATAACAAATTGAAAGGGAGTTTGACAGAAAGATCAACCCAGCATTTGACGAGTAACAGAATAACCATAAGCATTCAAACAGCATCACAATTTTGTGAGAACAAACATTGTGCTAGCGGCCAAACAACATTCAACAACACGATCGAAGCTGCGCAACGTAGATCACCACTGAAAGAAATTAAATCGAGTAACATACCGCAAAACGCAACTAATCAAGTTGATAAAAAAATAGAAGAATTAAATTGCAACACCAAAAAAGTTGAAAATCGAATTAAAGGAAATAATTTGGGTACACCGTCACTCTCGGTGCAGCAAATATTGCAACAAAGTTCACAGACTGACCTAAATAGAGATATGAAACAAATGTCAGTATTGAATCAAACTACAAACAATCAGTCCAGCACTAGTGAATTTTTTAGCGGTGATGAATTCCATGAGGAGCACGTCATAAGTACTTGGGTGGTGAGCTCAAGAGAAGTACTACTCGGAAAAGAACACACAGTCTACAACAACAGAACAAGTAACAATAAATTTATCAAGTTGTACAATTACAGAAAAAATGAAGATATTTTGCATAGCGTTGAAAGTGATCAAAGTCATAAATCAAAGTCAAATGTTTTGATCGATCAAGCAGTTGAGGACGTGAGGCGTGACCATGGAGGAACGAAAGAAACTTTTAAAACTTTCGTCAACTGCAGACCAAAAATGAACTTCGAATCACATAACACGAGCTTTGTTAGAGAACCGCTACTGGAAATCACCTCAAGACAAGCAAATGCAACAAAAATGGACAACGCATCAATGCAGACAGATTTCGCTAACAATCACCAACGAGCAAGTCTCAACCATTACCCACAACAACATCATAAAAAACAACAGCACAAGCATCTACAAAGTTTAAAACAAATTGCTCCCATACAAGATCTAAAGTTCAAACGATTGACTAACAATCTTTTCGACAGATTCTCACCGAGAAAAATTATTATGCAGGACGACGAGAGAAGTGACGTCAGCAGAACTTTTTCAGAAACGATATGTCAAAGTCCGCCTCAAGAAATAATTAAAAAAACTGCAACGAATAAATTTACTTTGAAAAGGATTGAATGCATGGAACACGTTTTGGAACTTCCATCAAAATTCAACGTCGTTAAATCTGATAACTCAATTTGCCCGTCTAAAATGCTGTTCAACAGTCAGCAAGTACTGACTTCCCGAACAGAGCCCATCCTGATGAACCAAGCAGAGGTGGTGGAGGACAACGAGGGTGACAACACGACCAGATCAGCTTTTGAGAAACACGTGAAAATATTCGAAATCGAAGATAAAACCGGGTTAAAATTATTTCAATAATTTCAGACTGCTTTATTTATCGCCACCAGTAACACGCCATCCTGACACTCAAATGTTCTCTATGAAACTTGTTTTAAATAAATTTGATTATTTCTTATGTTTGAATTACTGACATCTGCGTTATCTTTTTTGAAAATATCTTTAATAAAAGAATCATTAATGAACGTAAATGAGCAAAGAAAACAAAATATATTAATGATAAGAACATTATATAGGTACAGCATGACTAGTAACCGCTATTTTCTTACTTGGCCGAAATTAGTAAAAAATTAGAAGTGATAACTAACTAATAAATAAATAAATTCATTTACTGAATTTCTTCAAATTAACAATGTACATTGAGGCAAGTAACTGAACACGCTTGTACGATTGCTTGATTGGATAGTAGTCATAATCTATCAACCAATCATCGAAAGGGAAGACAGATACCGCCGGCCTATAACAAAGCGTGCAAAGTTTATCTAGATTTGAACTTTAAATAATTTCATAAACGCTACAAATAATAATTGAATGATATTAATATTAAAATCATTGAAACATTCTTCAAACGTGCGCAATAGTTAAGTAAATTTAATTCATGAAACATCTGAAAAATTAAAATTTTGCGTTATTAAAAACTGCCCCACGTCAAATTGAATGCCCGATTGGTTTAACTAAAGAATCGTAAGTAGATAATTATAGTTAATTACTTTTTAAATACGGATATTTTGTTAAATGATTTATAATTGGCTGTCGGTTCAAACTTAATCCCACAAAACACTAACACACATCTCAATATCGCGGCTGAAAAGGTCACTGGCGGATGATATCTCTGGTCCCCACTAGCAAGTAGGCAGTTGAATTTGGTATTTATATTTTTAATTGACCACAACGAAACTGATTGTATCATTACATATTGAAAAATTATAACAAAAACACCAAGCAGATAATAATATAAATAAGAACAAATAATAATATAAAGTATGATTAAGATCAAAGTTAATTCAATGTTTGAAAAAAAAAAACATTTCAGATGTGGTTGAAAAGTGAAAGTGTACAGTACATATAAATAAAATAGAAACCGAAAAAGCAGCAGTTAATTCCATATTAAAATAAAGGATAATAGAACAAACATTTATTTTCACTTCATCATTGCTTAATTAATTAATTAATTAATTAATTAATTAATTAATTAATTAATTAGTAAGTTAATTTATTTACAGAAATAAATATAAATAGGCAACACGTGCGTGCGTACAATAAAATAAAAACACTTTCAATACACAACCACACACAACCACATACTTAATAATATGTAAAGACAGATAGACACACAGACAAACACACACGCAAAAATAAATGTGTACACACTTACATACAAATTGTACTGTATTAAACATTTGTTTAAGGATAAACGCACTCATTCACACACACACTTATATTATATATATACATTGTATATATATATATATACATTGTATATATATATATAAAATCATTCACATACGTATTTATATACATTTATATACATTTCATCCAAGGTACATATGTGAAAACAAATAAGGAAAAGTCAAAAAATTTACATCTATCAAACAGTTAGCAATAAAAATTATTATTAATATAATTTTATTACCATTAATTATTATTGTTAATATTATATTATTATTAGATTAATGTAATTATTATTTACAGAATATTATTAATCCTGTCATTTTGCAAGTCAGTTTCATCCTTATCGAACGCACTAGGAGAGGAGCCAGCTATGATTACGTCATTGACATTCCCGACATCCATTTCGTCATCCTTATCATCCCCTGTCATGTTGCTCTCAGCTTCATTACAACTATCATTCTTATCCTGATAGGAACCGCTATTCTTTTCGAGGATATTCTGGTTGACATCCCAACCGCGTGCGTCATCTTCCGGCTGCTGCTGTGGCTGGGATTGATAGGGGGTCCACACGCCTAATTTCTGACTCTCATCTAAGTGTTGGTAGTTGTAACCGGGCGGAGATAGTGACGGCATTAGATGATGATTGTCAAACGTGTAATTCCCGATGAAAAAGTTTGCCGGTCTGTTGTGAAAATCAGTCAAGATGTCTAGGGGTCTTGAGAAATTGTTCTGCAAATTTTGAGCATTATTAGCCATGACGAATGACGACTCTTTAGATATTTGATTGGATGCATCGGCCGTATATATTCCTTGCTCGTGAATGTACTTGAGAAGTGTGGCCTGCAATGACGATACGTAAGTGCTGCACGATATCTTGATGTACGAGACGTCTTCCGTCATCGGTCGCACGGTGAAGTCGGGAATATAATGCTGTTGGCTGACCTCAGCGTCCAAATTCTTCAGTGTCGTGCCTGCTGCCGCCGCCGATGTTGTTGGCGTCGATCGCGGCAAGCTGTTGCTCAGAGATGATATTGCATCTGAGTGAAATCATTTATTGACCGGTTATTACGTGAACTAACTTTCAAATTTTTATTTATATGACAACTTTCATTCTAAAGGTTTTCTCACATCTATAACAGTAAACTTTTAAAAATAAAAAATTTAAAGCTACAAACGAAAAATAAAGCATTCACGTAAATTGACGTCCTACTTTGAAGTACAGGCAGACCAAAACAAGCGAAGGGTCCTTCAATGAAGACAAACCTCTCCACTCCAATCTCAACTTCGACCTTTCCCTCCAGCACAACAACCAGACCATCCATCGGTCGGTTCATCTCGACAATGTTGACTGCTCTCACGGATTGTGATGCACTGCCATCTTCGATGATGATGGAAATGTCCGGAGTCAGTGAGGAGGACGGTGAGGAGCCTAAAGGTTTCCTAACTTTGGTGATGGCACATCTTCTTAGTAACTTCTCAAGCACCACAGGTGATATCAACTCGGGCTTGAATGGCGGTACTAAATGAATGATAAATGAATAATGAGTGTTTCATTTCATTTTTCAAAATGAGGTGACACAATCATAAAACACGAAAAATGTAATAAACAGTTAAATAATATCATAATAGACGTTAAACATTTGCAAGCGCCAACGTCATATGAATATTTTTTTTTGAGAATGCAATAAAGCTTCAAATGAAGTGTCATCCACAACAAGTTTGCGTTTAACAATTTCATGTGTTTACAAACTTTCAAGATGAACACTTGGATTTAAGTAACATAACATACTTAAAGCCTGCCAAAACACTCATTATTACATTATTGCTGGAATGATGAAAATCTCAGAAGCACAAACAATCTCGGAATAGGAGTACTAAATTATAAAATAACAAAAAATCATGGTAGAGATTACATCAAGCCATGGGTATGGTCCACCTAAAAAGTTCAACCCTGGAGTTGGGTCTATTCAAAAGGTCAAACCTTACTATGGACTAAAAGGTCAAACCCTAGTCATATTCACTAACGCACCAAATGAACATTTCACAATATAACTGAGACTAATAGAGACCGTGGTTATAACAGGGTAGTTAATAATAACAATAATAACAACAATGACAACTTTTATTATCCACTTTTCATAAGTACGCATCTAGGACATGAAAACATTTCACCTTATCTCATATAATCAATTCAACATTTTTAAATATATGCGCATGGCATTTATAAAAATAAATCAAATTATCTTGTTTCTATAAAGTACATTAAAGAGGATAACTAATTGTGTACGTGCGGTGTGCGCGTACGTGTGCATGTGTGTGCGTGCACGTGTACGTTCTAGATAGAAATACATATACATTTATATAACAAACACATATAGCCCAAAGATGTTTATTTATAATTAAGCTAACAAGTGGCTAGGAAGCACTTGAGGGCCTTAAACATGTTCGGAGTAAGGCTGGCCTCTGCGTCGTTACCATCACCACTCTTGTCGGTCGTCTGGTTGCTCGAATGGAACACAGCAAACTGATTGAATTTAATCTTCTCAATGCTACTGGTCAGCTCGTTGTTTGAAACTGTCCATTGAGGAGTAGGTTGTTGAAAAGTAAACCTAAATTAATAATGCAACTTCACTGTTTTATGAAAAAAAAAACTTACAATGTATGTTGGGATCAAAGACATTATTGTTAACTGGTTTGTGGGCGTTTGTGTCTGAATGAAAAATCTCGTCTATGACATCTTCAAGTGTGACCATGCCTTTGTAGTTGTTATTGGTCCAGTGATTGATTGATTGGTTAGTTGGATGATTGATTGATTGATTATTTGTTTGATTGATTAGCTGGTTGATTGGTTGGTTATAAAAAATGCTTTCAGCAGAGAATAAAACATCTAAAACAATGAACAATAGATAAAATAAGCCCTTCAAATATAAAACCAATGATAAGAAACAAGATAAGATAAAACATTGATTAATTCGAAAGTTACTTACTGATTTTATTATCAACTAATGAGTAAACATTGATAAATGACAACAACAATAAACAATAATGATTAGATATGGCATTTCACAGGGAGAGAAAGAATACAAAAAGAGAAAGAGAGAGAGAGAGAGAGAGAGAGAGAGAGAGAGAGAGAGAGAGAGGAGAGAAAAACAGAAACTACAATTATTACCCAGCGTTTCATAATATGGGTCTCCTGGGCCATCACTATTCACTCTCTGTACAAATGCCATGTGAGACTGGCCTGATTTCAAATTAATAATTTTGTCAAATAATAAGGTCAGGTCAAATTATTACTACAATTAATCTTTAAATTTTTCAAATTTTTATGAGCATCAATTGAAAATCTATTTTTATATAAAATATTTATAGACATCGTACCATCATATCAGCTGAAAAATGTTTGCATAACAAAAATTCTAAGAATGAAAAATATTTCCATTACATAATTAGAAAAGTGGAGAAAGTTAAGTTTGCTCTCACAACCGGAGTGTAAAATTTGTTCATTTAAAATATGTAAACTTAAGTAGGAATCCACCAGTGATGGTTTGAGGTCATTGAATTAATGATGAATAATCTTCGTTTATATTATCATTAATCTCATATACGAAAGTAAATAATTAATTAATACATCCAACCGCGTTTAACTTTTGCATAATAAAATTTCAATGAGGTTGCTGATCAAACAAATTAGTGGTCGTAAGAATAGCAGCAGCAACAGCAGCAGCAGCAGCAGCAACAGCAGCAGTAGTGGTAGTAGTAGTAGTAGTAGTAGTAGTAGTAGTAGTAGTAGTAGTAGTAGTAGTAGTAGTAGTAGTAGTAGTAGCAGTAGCAGTAAGAATAATAAGAACATAAAACCTCTTAATAAATAAATAAATAAAAAAACTTCAATAAAATGAAGTGCTTACTTACATCCATTAGCTAATGAAACCACTCTGAAGTGCATTGCCAAATTTATTACCACATTTATTACAAACTTATTACACAAGTATTCATTAAATTCATCAGATCGTATCATCACGCCATGAGATATTTCCACAGAGATTTCACTCTGAAAACTGAACTTTTCATCATCATGCAATCTCCCAACCTAAGAAACCTGGTCAAAACAGCACATCATCTCAGGGTTCCTATCAAAACTCCATCTCAAAACAGCAATCTGATCTGATCTAATGTTATAACTGAAAAAAGTATTGAAATTGTATAATAAATATACCTAGGAGATTCAACTTTTGAATGTAATTATATTGAAAGAACCAATCAATCAATCAATCTTCGTTTAGCGTCCAGAGACCCAGTTCCCCAAGGTAGGACGTTGAAAGAACCACGTGATGAATAATGATTGTATCAGCAAAAACAAGACATTAAAAAAGCATAAATTCTTACATAGATACATACATACAAAGACAAACGAATACGTACAAGCATAAATACACTTACACAAACACAGATATACACACATACATACACGCACATACATACATACATAACAAAACATACATAAAACTCTTACACAAACAAATAATACAGAAACTTTTGCATACAATTATACAAAACAGCGAGACACATAAACATATACACACGCAAAAACACACACACACGCATGTACACTAACATACACACACACACACAAACAAACAAACAAAAATACATGCCAGTTTAACAATATAGAAAATACTTCATGTAGTCAACCTAACGTAACCCTTATAGAACATAAATGAATGGACCTACAAGCTTACCTGTGCTAAGCATGGCTTATAAAAATACAATGAAAGAACATAATTATATAATCTATATAAAACCACTACAACAACAACTACAACAGTAATAATAATAATAATAATAATAGAAACAACATCAATAATAATAAGAATAATAAGAATAATGATGAATAATAAGAATAATAATAATTATTATGGCAGTAATATAGCATAATAGAGATGGTAAAGTGAGTAGATAGTTACTCAGTGTATTGTTAAGTTCATGAATGGAAGAATAGGAGAAGCAAGTGTGATCTTTCTTGAAAGTATATAACTAAAAGTATATAAGAGTGGAGATATATAAATTAAAGAATGAAATATACGCGAATAACCAACTAACCAAAAACCAAAAACATGAATGAATGAATGCATGAATGATGCATGCATGAATGAGTGAATGAATGAATGAACGAACAAATGTGTGAATGAATGAATGAATGAACGAACGAACAAACGAACGAACGAATAAGTAAATAAACAATTAAAATCTAAAAATAGTGTGAAAGAGAGAATCAAACTTGAGAATGAATTAATTAAACAAGCCAAAAGGATTCAACTGGTAAAATCTTGTATAATGAAACAATTGAGCCAGTGAATCAACGCACGCACATACACACACACGCACGCACGCACGCACGCACACAAACACTGACACACACAACAAGCAAGCAGTAAGAATAATATTTATTTAAATGTTGTTATTCTTTCACAATTAAGCAAATCATTAAAAATTCAATTATTATCATCATCAACACCCCCACCACAACTTTACTCATACAACTATAACTATCACCATTGTAACTATTATCATTACTTAAATTAACACACCTATAAAATGTTGGCTAACAAGTAAAAAATGCAGTTCACATGAACATATCTTAGTTGAGCATTGTCTCAGTTTAAATACTTTCTAAGTTGATTTCAAAAACACACTCAGTACCAACCTACATAAAAAAATTGTCTTCTTATAGAAGTGAAAACAATGAGAAAACTATAGCTAGCCAAGGAAAACCTTGATGTAAATGTTACAAAAATGACTATCAACACAATCATTCCTAAAGCTGATGCACTGCTTCTAATGCAACTGATGATGTATTCATTGTCATTATTTTAAATGTTTCTTTAGTCATAGTTTCATCTGCAACAATTTCAAACATATCATGAAGATATCTCTTTGATCCTGTGGCAACAACCCCTAACACTATTATCCATCACATCGCCATGAAAAGTGTGGCATTAATAAATGTCTAATGAGTGCCTCTAATAATGTAAAATTATTGTTATTAGTGACATTATGACTATTAAGATTTAATATAAAAAAAAAATATTATTAAACATTATTTAAAACTCATTAAATCACTAAACAACCTTTCTTGAATTCTTCCAACATAACATTGAGTTTTGTATCTTCAAAGACAAAATTGACAGGCCTGTTGTAGAACTTGCAGACTGTTTTGATGGTCAACTTGTCCGTCGGATCAATCAGCGTCAGATCTTTCAAATGAAGGAGTGCCACTACATTCGTCCTCAGCTTGTCATAGACAGGAATGCGAGTGTAACCTTTCTTAATTATTTCTGTTACCTTTGCAGCTGTGAGCACACTGTTGTATTCCTCCATGTAGGCTTCCTCCAGTTTCACCATCACATCCCCGACCGTCTTGTTGGATAACTTCAAAGCCTTCAAATCATTCTCGTCCTCTTTTTTTACTTTTTCAGATGGCTGTTGCTGTTTAGTTAGTATCTCCTGTATTTGGTCCCTATTGTAAACAGTTGGAATTTCATCATCCAACACAGCATCCATCAGCTTGCTTACAGGAAACGAGAATGGAAAGGCTAACACAACAAAGATATTAGTCAGCCAGGCCATTTTGTTTCCGTATGACAAACCAAATCGTGAGCAAATTGTCTGTGGAAGAATCTCTCCTAAAAAAACTATCAGCAGAGTGGCAGCCAAGATGCTGTAGTAACTAATCAATTCATGAAAGAGGACAGCTAATACAACATTTGTGAGTGTGTTCATGATAAGAAATGTACAGAACAATAAATTTCCTCTTTTTCTTAATGGAGTTACAGCTCTTGAATATTTCTTTTCTTCAATGTTTCCCTGATTTCTTAAAACCTTTAATTCAGCTCGTGTTAAAGTCAATAATGACATGGCCAACCCAGAAAAAAGAGCCGAAAAGAGTAAAAATACTGGGATGAGAAATGAAAACACCCAAACGAGAATATACTTGCGCTGATCATCTTGAACGACAACAGACAACCTCATCCAAGCATCATTCCCTTGGTGAATCCAATTTGTCCAATTTGATGTCCTTAGGCACATCATCCAATACCCATCCACAAATGTCTCGCTTTTGCTAAATTTAACTGAAACTAAAGCCGATTTGCCAGAAACTGATTTAATGTTGAAACTTTCAGATCTTCTCATATCATCACAGTTCGTACCTATCGCTGCTTCAACGTTAGTAAAGGCTATTTGAGAGGTGGACGTGGGAGATAATGGGCCATCAGTGAAAATCCTCAAATCAAATTCTTTGTCCGCCTTTACAGTTATAGAACCATCCGTATTAACATCAAAATCATTAGATTCAACGCGCATTGAACTAACATTAATACAAAAAATAGAACAAAGATTGCTTAAAAATATCATTTCCAAGAGAATAAATTTAATATTTGATTTCATTTTTCAGCCTTTTTCAATTCAACAAAAAAATTAAAAAATTCCTTATTTGTATTTCATTAATTTATTTAAACTACAAATCAAGCTTACTGGTGAAATTAAATTAAAAACTAAATTAAATAGTCAAAATATTTAATTTATTTTATAAACAAATTGCACAAAGTGCCTTCAAGTTTTAACAACAGCATATCAGAACTTAACAAAAATAGATTCCGCACAAAAATCCATTTTTATTTTAATATTTTAATGATCAAATAGTCGTGCGCTTCATTTAAATGCGAAGTAATTAAATGTAAATCGTCTGCACACAACTCTAATACCCAATCAAATAAGACCGACTAATCCTAGCTATATAAATATATAAATTGAAAAATCAAAAAATGAGAATGTGTACATCATTTCAGTATTTCATTTGTACGGATAGCACGTATTATTTTTTAACAACTTGATGATTTAATTCTGTCATTCTGTTACATGCATGAACGAATGCATATATATTATTATGATTGTGATCAGTCGATATATTTAAGATCAGAGATCGGTCAATTTCATTTAATAATGTTCACTTATTTATAAGGTTTATCGTATAAATCAGTGTTCTCATTAAAATAACAACCAAAACTATATGAAAAAAAATCCAAAAAATTTGCACTTTCAATGTAAAAGGATTATAAGAGACGTTACTATTTATATGCGGATCGAAATACTTCACGGAGGATAGCACTGCGACACGATTTCTTTTAAATATAGAATTCTTATGCTTGTAATACGTCTGTGTATGTGTGTAAAATGGCAGTCATTTAAATGCAAAACGTGTTCTCGTGCGAAATTGCACTTTTATATGTTTACGATACGACATGCATGCCTGTTTAAATGACTATGAACTTACATATATTCATTACAAACTTATTTCTAAGGAATTCAGCTTTGTAATGTGTCATTTGCTCAAGTTGAATATGCCATTATTATTATTTCATTTATTTATTTCGATTAGGCAAATTGAATACTAATTTGGAGACAAATAGTAGTTAAAAGAAAATAAATTTATTTATTTTTTATTTATTCTCTCTAATACATCTCTGTCGAAAGCAGAACTGCTTACATGTTATTCTATACTTATAATTAAAATTTTGTGCCACAAAGTCTGTACACTATCCATCATATAGCGTATGATAGTTTTTGAGTTACGAACAGAGGGTATTCGAACGATTCCAGCGCGAAATAGCAACACGAGTCCCGTCACTCCTAACGACTGAGCTAACTCTATATCCATTACAGATCATATATGTGTTTTAACCATGGATAATTGGATATATCCATGGTTTTAACTGAAGATATACAAGTTACGAAATAAAATAATGACCAAAATTTATTTAACTGCAAAATAATAACACACTGAGCAAAAAGAATATTAAATTTATTGTAAAATTTTATAAGTGTACTTAGACCAATTATACATGCATGTATTTGCTCGTGTACACGGAGTATAATTGTTCAACTTCTTAGCAAGTAAAGTATGCAATAGGAAGAATACGACTGAAAAATTCCATTCCATAACTCCATAGTTATAATTTGACGACACGCAGAAAAGGCTTAAGATGCTGTAATGTTGCAATAATATTGTTGTAAACTTTGAACACTCGTTACTACGGGCACCATTGTTTTAACTTCAAAGATCTCTATATTTCCAGCACTAGTGTTGTAGCTTCCAACAATCGTCAAGTTATCGTTATTTCGTAGGTTCAAGATTTCCGATAGATGAACTCAACTGCATCAAACATAAACTTTTTTGAACGTTTATTCGAATGCCAACAGTAATAGAAACACTAAACTTATCCAAGCAACTACATAAATCGCATTTACGACATCGCTTCAAACCTCGCTGCTGACTTCGCTACTTCTTCCCCTTATATATAAAATATTTTGACAATTTAAAGATTACAAATTGTGTAGTGTTCTATATATATGTTGTATTCTATAAATATATACGTTATTTAAAAAATTTTTTTTTCTTTTATTTAAAAGGTGTAAAAAGTATTCCAAAATTTATATATCTTTCCAATTCCTATACATCGTTTTGATCTCGACTACTATGTGGTTGTTTTTAACCATTACATTACGTCCAATCGACATTAACGTCCAATGATTAAATTGAGGGGATATTGTTCCATTTTTCACTCAACAATTTTTAATGGATTAATTTTGATTTGTTCTACCTAAGTAAAATTATTCAAAATGGCGATGAAAATCATGCCAAAAACAATCCCCGGAATGTTACACAACATGAACAAAAATTCGTGTGATTGGGGATGGCAAGGTTTGATTTCATATGGCTGTCAAAACGTTGTTGTAGTTGTTGATCCACCCACTGTTCAAATAATTCAAGTTCTTGATTGCCACTCTGGCTATATTATGAAGGTTGTCTTTTTATTCTGTATTAATTAAATTAAGTATGTATAATATGTATTATAATTATATAATTTATAATAAATTTTAATGTAATTACTACTGAGACTAGAGCTTTACACTTACTTAAGCAACCACGTCATGGTCTATGTTTGTATATAAATTGTATTTAACTGTTAAACATTCAACAAGGTTTAAAAATATTAATATTCTAAAAATATTCCAAGTCAGACAAAAACATTTTTAATTTACTATATTATATATAATATATATATAAGAATTTTAGTAATAATTAATTTTCAAATTTGCAGACAAAATGGGCGAGGGAAAATTATAGACACAACTTGGCCAGTCCTTACACATTACGTTTGGCAGCATCAGATTTCAATGGACACATATACATTTGGGATGTTGTAACTGGAAAAGTAGGGGCAGATTGCTGTGATGGCACAAAGCCTGTTTCTGATATGGAATGGGTAGGTGTTCAAGATATATCGCATGACCTATTGTTGGCATTGCATCCTCCATATCATTTGATATTATGGAATACTGAAAATGGTAGTAGGCTGTGGAGGAAGGCTTACACTGACTTGTTTCAGACTTTTTCCTTTGATCCTTTTGATCCTATGAGGATTGCCTTTCTAGGGCAAGATTTTGTTGTGTTTGTGGATGATTTTACACTCTCTAAAGCTCCTGTTGGCTCTGGAAAAAAGTTTTACATATCCAGTCCTTCATCTCAAGTAAGAGCTGTTGATGGCTATTGATTTTTATTTGAATAATTTTGGGATTCTAAATATATTTTCACTGTCTGTTTTACAAAAACTGTAAAAATAATTTTAAATTATTTCTGTTTCTAATATAGGTGACTCCATCAGCAAGTTTAGATAAAATAAATTCTGACAAACGATTATCTCGATCTTTAAAGAAAGTTGGTGGCATATTAATCGGCGAATCTTCTAAAAGATCAAACTACCAAGACGATGAGAACATCTTTGTTAATGCAATACCCATGTCAAATAGCAGTGGGGTCATATCTAATGAAACATCAATGTGTCTGCAGTTAGAGTTTCACAAATCAAGAAGACATCACCTCATCTTAATGTATAGCAAAGAAACATTAGTGTTAGATCTTGAGATAAATCAAACAGTAGGTGTTATATCAATAGAAAGGTCTGGATCTCCATTTCTCAAAATTATGAGCATTAGCCAAAAAGATGCCATAATCTGCTTACATGAGAATGGCAGTCTTTCTCTGAGAGTCTGCAAACTGTCAAGTAATTTGGAAAGTGATCAATCAATGCATTCAAACCACGATGATCATTTCAGTGGTATGCCAATTTCAAATGATTTATTCTACGATCATGTATGTCAGTCAGATGGATTGAGAGTTACAAAACACAACAAAGTTATTGCCGGAGCTGTTTGTCCTGTGTCAGAGAAATGTGTTGCCCTGGTTATGAGTACTGGTAAAACATTGATCTGGGAACTTCAATCCACAAAACCGCCAAAAAACAATTGTATATCCTCAGCCTTTGCTCAATTGCAGCCAAAGCTAACAATAAAAAATTTAATTAACCCAACAAGTCCTAAGAATCTGTTTAAATTTTTAATGGTAGGATTGTCAAATAATCTTTCTCAATCTCCAATTGTTGTACGAATGTGTCCTCCTTTGACAACAAAAAATTTCAATTTCTACCAACCTTTGTTAGCTGTTGGGTCTGCCTCAGGGAATGTTTTTGTTTTCAACTTATCTGGTGGACAAATGTTCAAAGAGCTAAGTGTGCACACTTCTTCAGTGAAAGGAATTGAATGGATTGGTTTGAAGTCATTTTTATCCTACGCATATCAAAACCCGATGACTGGTAATTCAGGAATGGTTCGAAATGAATTAATGTTTACAGATCTGGATACAGGTCGAAGTTTTCAAATAAGAGGAGGAACAAATGAAGAAGAACCACCAATTGAAATGATTAGGGTCTCTTACCTTAAACAGTATTTTTGTGTTGTCATCAGAGAAAAACCCTTAGAGATATGGGATGTCAGATCTCAGACTATATTACGACAGATGCCTAAAAACTTTCCTCATGTAACTGCTTTGGAGTGGTCACCATCTCACAATATTAAAAATCTGAAGAAAAAAACACCACTAGCACCTGAAACTACAATAAACAACTCCACAGCAAGCAACATTAGCATGAGTATAGACATGAACAACCATTCAATGATTGACGGTGATGCAACATCCCTTGCTGGACAATCCTTGGCTTCAACTCCTACAGCCACTGACAAAACTCCTGTTGAAGATGACCTAGCACTGACATCAGTTAGGGAACATTTTGTCTTTACTGACACCAATGGCCTCTTGCATCATTACATTGTTGATGCAAATGTCGTTAAAGAAGGTTCTAAAATCCCACCAGATGCCAGTATGGGTAGTATAACTGGAATTGCTTGGAAGTCAGAAACATTAGTTTTGACAGATTCTGATGGAAATATGAATGTGTGGGACTTGAAGGGGCGCTTATCTAGGACCCTTCCAACTGGGAGAGGTGGAATTAAAAAGATTAAATTTGCACCTGGAAGAGGAAATATGAAGTTGCTACTGTTGTATAATGATGGAGTTGAGATTTGGGATGCAAAGGAGATGGTGAGAGTGTCTCAGATACGATGTCCTAGAGATCTTGCTCAAGTATTCTGCATTGATTGGGCTGCCTCTGATAGGCCTGTCATTGCATGCAGCGATAACACTATAAGAATCACAGACTTAGAACTAACTCACTGTTGTTCTGCCATGGAGGACAACCAAGTCCAAGATCCTGTCTTTTGTCCACACTCACTGCCACCAAAAGCGGGATTTCTGTTAAAGACTTTACTGCAACATCAGTCATGGAGGAGGAGATATCATTTGGATGCAGATGAGTTTACAACTTCTAAGAAGGACATCATTTCTCATTCAGTCCTGGAACAGCTGGAAATAGTAGATGTTGATGTCAAGGCATATCTCTGTTCTACAAAATATAAAACAGCAGATAGGTGTTTTATTACTTCCTTGTTGTTTGGCGATGAGTCAGAAGTTACTTTTTGGTCAGTTGCATTGCATTATTTGAAATTGAAAAGTTCAAATGCTGACAAAAAAAATTCATCATCCATCAATCACAATGATAACATTGATTCAAAAGATGCTGCATCAGGAAATAAAGAAAATAATCGTCTCTCTTCCAATCTTTTACACTTTGACACACCCAAAGATAAAGCACTAAATAAAAATTGCACTTTGGAGCGAAAAGAAATGCTGAGTGATTGTGAACCTCTGGAGACCTGTTATGATGTTCTTTGTGAAGGTCCTGTCTTCAGGTCTAGAGAACTAAATCGTATTCACTTGCACGAAGCCAAGAGAGGCACTGGAGAACAAGCTCGTAAATGTGCAGATAACTTAATTCTGCTTGGTCAGACAGACAGAGCTGTTCAACTTTTGTTAGAAACTGAACCAGATTCACCTAATTATTATTCTGATTCATTGAAGGCATGCCTGGCAGCTAGCATCAGATCTTCAGGGGCTTCTCAAAGTACTATCAAATTGGTAGCAACAAATTTGATTGCTAACGGTCAACTTTCTGAGGGAATTCAGCTTCTGTGCATGATTGACAAGGGTATAGATGCTTGTAGGTATTTACAAACGTACAACAAGTGGCATCAAGCTGCTTGGCTTGCAAAAGTGGCACTCAGTGAGAGTGAATGTGCTGATGTTCTGAAGAGATGGGCTGATCATCTTGCTTCCCCTCAGGTTTCATGAGAAATTATTTTTCACTAGATTTTTACAAATCTAATTGTGTTATTATAATTACAATTTATTATACGAAAATAAAGTAGTTAGTAGCATGTTAACAGTTTAACAAAATAAAAAAGATTCTATTGATTTAACTTAGGTGGATCAGAAGGACAGAGCCGTTCTTGTATTACTCTCGCTTGGTCTTTTTGAAAGATCTGTTGAATTAATGTACTCGCAAAGATATTTTGATAGGGCTGCTTTGTTTCTGGAAGCATGTGAAGAATTTGATATTAAGTTAACCTATAGTGATAAACAAACTGCCAGTCAAGCAGCAAACTCCAAAGAACCATCTGACCATATGACAATTTCACAAATGATATTCCTCGAATATGCAAGAATCTTGTTGAATTTGGGTCTGATCAGTGCTTGCGAGTATTATTGCAGGAAGGCTGGTTGCAAAGGAGAAGAGATGCTGGTGGAAATCAATCAATTATTAGATGAAAAATGAATTCTATTTTTATTAACAACATTATCATCTACTTCCATCGTTATTTCAAAATCAGTTCAAGCTATTATTTCCTTTCTTATTATTGTTCTATTGTTGATTAACTAATTAATTGATCGATTGATCGTAGTAAATTAAATTTGTTTCCATCTTTTACATTCCTGCAATTGTAAAGCAATTGTACATATTACGATTATGACGAAGCATGCACAATAATTGTTCTCATTTTTTTACATTTTTAACCATGATTCAGTTTCTGTTTAAAATATTTTCAATTAAACAAAACAAAATAATTTTTTATTTTATTTCTTAAGTCTGTTAGCTTTAAATTTTGAAATTCTAATATTGTCTTTACGTGGAATTTCGTCTTTGAATACTGAATTTGATGTGCTTGGTGCCACATCTCTCTCCACCACAAAACTCGAACAAGCCTCTATGCTTGGACCAGCGACGTCAACTGTATGTTCATTTTTTTCTATTTTCGCAGGAGCTTTTTTGTGGACTTCGCTCGTTAATTTAATGTTTGCATTGCTACAAACATTATTTTCTTCACCTGCCTTTTCGTTGTTGAACGTTTTTTTAAGGATTGATTTAGGCTTGCTAATGTAGAGAGGATATATATCACCAGGAGTTTCAATGGTGCTTCCGGAGGAGTGGTGTGAAGCCGCCTGTAAATTTTCAAAATTAATTTGATATTCTTCTTGCTTAAAGCATTATAATTCGTTAAGATCGACAATGAAAATAACTTACATTTGAATGTGTGAAGCGGACAACAATTGAGTTTTGTTCATTTATGCAAATGTTTTCATTACTGACTGTGATGCTTTGATTGGCATCATCACTATCTTCTTCGTCTTCATCACTGTCATCATCAGCAACAACATTATCATAATTTTCAGTGCTGTGTAAATCTTTTATTTCTTTTTCATTCTCTTCATCTTCCCAGCTGACTGACTTTTTATTTTTTGTTTGCACCTCACCTGCAATCACTCTACCCAGGCTACTGCTACTTTCAGTTTCTGCTGTCTTTTTGTTGGTGAACAGATCATTATACAGATCATCATAATTTTGCAATATGTCTGAGTTTTCATTCTTTAAGGTGTCATCTTCATTTGATTGTGTATCTGTGTTTTTTTGTTCATCACTTTCAACATTTCCTGGTACCTCCAGATAATTATCTTCTTTTTCTTCAAGTTCTTCTAAAATTTTCCATAGCTTAGATTCATCGTTTTCTTGAACATCTTCAGTATTTGATGTAGATTTGCCAGTATGGATCTGTTTCTCTTTGCTTTTTCTGAGGTTTTCTTTGTGTCTCTCTTGAAAATGATACAATAATTTTTCATTCAATTTAATGAGTTTATTTCTTGCAATACATCATTTGAACAGCTTACCTCTCCACTTTGAGTCTTCTTCATCATTGCACTCCTCTTTTATTTCGACACATTCATTATTTTCCTTAGTTAAATAATTAAAAGTGAATTTAAACATTGAAACATTTTTGTTGAATAGTTGAAATTATCATAACATACAATGCTAGAGTTTCAAACCCATATAAATTTCAATCTAGTATAAAATATTAACCAGCAAATATTCAGAAGTAAATTGCTGCCTTGGTTTTATAAGGTTTTTTTGTTTCTTCAATTCCCCAATCTGTAATTCAAGGTCTAAATTAAGTAGAAATGTTATCAGTGACGCCATAGATTGGTTATATTTAAATAAATCTCACTTGAAATTCTTCTCTCTATTATTCCAGAGGCATGTTTGGCAGATGTTCTAACAAACCAATTGTCTCCTAACAGGATTGTGATTTGATTAGTATTGATCAACTGGCCGTGCATGAAGCCTAATTTTCCAAATGGGGCCTTGGAAATATATGACAATTAAAACAAACATGCATGACAGAATTAACAAAAAAATTAAAATACCAGGATTTGATACGATAACTTATCAGGTAGAGTGATTAGCCTTTCCTTCAATGAGCAGTAATCTTGTAACATCAAATTACTGGAGTTGTTAATTAAAATTTATGTAGGGTAATTGACAATAATAAAATAATGAGCATGTGAAAATTAAATGTTTGTATTATATAACATAACTTATTAAAATAGAAATTTTGTGCTTACAGTTTATCAATTTTTGATTGAGTTTCAGTTAAGACCTGCTCTGTGGCCTCCTGTAATCGCTTCAATCCATCTACATTCAGAGCCATTTTGATGCTGACTTTAACAAGTCTTATCAACTGTCATCAATTGTTATCAATCATCAACGTCTTTAAAAAAATTAAATTATTTATTTCAATTACTGGCATTTTAAGAATTAAGATTACAGTTCTTTCAGTACACACTGCCTCTTTTTTAATTAATTTAAATTTTAAATAACATATGGGTTATCATAAACCTTTCTTTATAATAAGAATAAGAAAGAGGTGACATAAGTTATTTACGGAGAAAGACGTTCACCAATAAAAAAACATAATCATGTAATGACACTATTTTCTTTTTATATTCATTAACTTTTAACTTTCACCATATCATTTATCGTTCAAAATATAAAAGTGAAACTTTTTGTTTATTTATTTAAAAATTATTTTAATTAGTTTTTTAATTAATTTAATTATATTTAATAATTTTATTAATAACATTATTGTAAAATTAAAATTTTCAAAGTTTTAAAATGTTTGATTTGTTGTGTTTGTTTTTGGTTAACAATTAAGTAAGTCTTTGCTGTTTGCAGCGACGTTCTTTTTCCTTTTTATCCTTAATCGTTGACGGCGTGTTATTTGGTGGGTCTCTGTAATCTCTCAAGATGGGTCGTATGCACGCTCCTGGGTTAGACATTTATTTAATCAATTCATTTATTTGTAACAAACATTTTTATCCAGTTTTATTTAATTTTTAGTAAAGGTATTTCCCAGTCATCGCTTCCATACCGTCGAAGTGTTCCAACAGTATGTTTCGTTTCAATATTTGTTTTGGAAATTGGTTATGTTTGGGATTTGCGTGGTGACGTTTTTAATTTCTGAGCTCGCAAATACCCAAATGAAAATGAAGCAGAAGAATTATGGGACCAAGGGTTTTCATTTTTGATTGCTCTTGGTCACCAATTCTGATTTAATTAAGTTCTATTTTTATTGTTAATTTATCGTAAAATTTTTAACAATAATATTAAAATATACAAGCTATTTTTTGTATGTCTGTTAATACTTAATTGTATTCATTGTTTGTATTAGTGGTTGAAGTTGAGTTCTGATGATGTCAAAGAGCAGATCTACAAATTGGCAAAGAAAGGATTGACCCCATCTCAAATTGGTCAGAATATTTTCATTCTGAATTCATTTTTAACTTGAAGAATTTTGCTATCAGGTCATTTTAATAAGAAGTTAAATGATTGCACAGGTGTGATTTTGAGAGACTCTCATGGAGTTGCCCAAGTAAAATCTGTCACTAGCAACAAAATTCTAAGAATTCTGAAGGCCAAGGGTCTAGCCCCAGAAATTCCAGAGGATCTGTATTTCCTGATTAAGAAAGCTGTTGCCATCAGAAAACACTTGGAAAGAAATAGAAAGGTCGGTACTGGAAATAATAAAATTATAAATCTTGAATAATGTACATATACTTAATACATGCCTGGTCTGTATTTTAATGCATAAATTTTCCATATCAGGACAAGGATGCTAAATTTAGACTTATTTTGGTGGAGAGTAGAATCCATAGATTAGCCAGGTATTACAAGACCAAAAAGGTTCTTCCTCCCACCTGGAAATAGTAATTATATTATTCATTCGATTTTTTTGTAAATTCTTATATTGTATTATTATGCTTTTTATTATATTTGTTTTGTTTAGTACTTTAGTTTATTGCTTTTATGTTTGTGATACACAAGATCAATATTAATGTGTGTAATTTTTTATTTTTTCAGTGAATCTTCCACAGCGTCAGCTCTTGTCTCGTAATTCTGTTATTGAATTTTCATGGAAACTATTGTTGTGTTTTGATTGAGAAATAAAACCAATGCAGTAGCATTTTCTTAACACGGTTGCTTTTTTGATTTTTCTATATCTGAGGTGTTTTAAATGCGAAGAAAAATTTAGTTTAAAATAGTCAGATAATCATGGGGCTGTTCGAATATTACGCAACTCTCCGGGGGGACGGGGGTTCAAAAATTGTTAACGAAAAAATGTTTTTTATATTTATCATTATTAATAAATTTAATTTTTCATTCTAAAACACAAATGTTAGTGTAGTTTTTATAGAATCTATGTTAATAAATGGTTAATGATCATATTTCTTTAAAATTGTCGTTTTCATCCATGAAACTTAGCAGTTATGAACATTCTGATAAAAAAACGACGAATACAATGCATTTTCGTGACCGCGTGGTACATACGGAAAAAAATCAAAAAAAATGCTACTCTAAATTCAATTGTTTTTTATTACCGAAAAATTAAAAATTTTTTTGTTACGTAACAGGGGGGGGGGTAAGTCGTTTGTTACGGAAGTGTTACGAAGGGGGGGAGGTAGTCAAAAGAGTCGTTTTTTCGTGTTACGTAATACTCGAACGCCCCCCATTGTGTTGAATGCGTAAATGTAACTAAAGGACAATACCTGGGTTAATAGTTGCATGGCATTTTACAATGGGATGGTTAAATATAACTAAAGGACAATACCTGGGTTAATAGTTGCATGGCATTTTACAAGGATAATTCTTGACTCGTGGTTGCGCAGAGAATGCGCCATGCTTTCATTTTTCACCTACGACTAACGTAGGATTGTTCTTTTAAAATGATTTAAACCTAATAAAGACCTATTTCAGGTCTAATATATAAAATTTAACGTGATACAATGCGCACATCGGGTAGAGTTGACTAATATATATCCATGAATTAATGTAATATACGCTTTAATATTGAAATATGCGCTATATGAAATGCGTGTTGAAAGTGAAAAGTGAGAGATGTTGATGACTTCAACCAATGAAAATTCGCCACGAACGATTGATGTGCGGTTGTTATGAGGATAAGAATTGGCCGGCGTTCGCACTAATTCGTCATTTTCGCGATTAGGGCTTTCATTTGTGTCACCGTTCAATCTGTGTTTTATTTTATCGTCATACTATTTTCCAGTTTATATTATGCAGGCTCAAATAAGTTAGCATTTTTTGGTTTCCGTTTCATTTGTTTTAATTTAATTTTTTTCTATTTTTTGAGTCATAGTTGCTACGTTTAGTAAAGTGTAAAAGTTATTTTAAAAAAAAAAAACATGTAGTAAATTAAATATTTTTATGAAATAATAAATAATTTTACGTTTATTTATGATGATATTTGGTAATAATTTTGAGTTGGTTAGTGTCAGGGTTAGGAATTTTAATTTTAAAAATTAATCAAATCAAATTTTATTCAATCCAAATTAATAATAATTAGGTAATGATTAGGAGACCAAAGCTAAAAGAAAACAAAATTCTTGTGTCGCAGGCCACCGTTCACAAATTGTTCATTCTAACACAATTTTTAAGTAAATTTATAATTCATGACAAAATTAACATAATCGTCATAATGCACACTTAACAATTTAGGAAGGTTTACTTAAAAGTTTATTTACTCAGTAAACTTTATTGACTTTAAGGAGTAATTTTGATAATTTTTGTTAAAACAGTTGTACTGTGTGTGTTGGTAGCATGTACGTCTGCTTTGTATTCATCTTCCGATGACGTCATTCAGTTGACAGATGCAAACTTCAGATCTCGTGTTGTGGACAGTGACGAGTTGTGGCTTGTCGAGTTCTATGCCCCATGGTCTGTTATATCTCGTTCTTTTGTTTCTAGTTTCAATAGCCTCCATTTGTCTGTATGTATAATAGTCTATCTATAATGTATTGTATTTCTATTTAAAAAGTTGCTCTATTGCTAATCTATTTAATTGAAAATTATCAATCTCTTAATTTTTTTATTACACAGCTCTTTTTTGTATTGTATTATTATATTATAAAAAATGTAAGACCAGTCACTTAAGTAAATGTCTTTTCTGATAGGTGTGGACATTGTAAGAATCTTGTACCAGAATGGAAAAAAGCTGCAACAGCCTTAAAGGTTTCTTAAATTTAATTTTTTTTCTCTTTTTAATTTTCTTATTTTTTGGGCTAAATCATTTTATTTATTTTACATGTTTTGTCAATAAATTGATGTTTCGTTATCTTCTCAGCACACTTTTTCTTATGTTTATTTCATTTTACTTTTTGTCTAGGGAATAGTGAAAGTAGGCGCAGTGGATGCAACTGAGCATCAGTCGTTGGGGTCCAGCTATAATGTTCGTGGTTTTCCTACTATCAAAATTTTTGGGTCTAATAAAAACAATCCATCCGACTACAATGGTAAGATTATGAGATTTTTCAAAAGTGAAGTGTTGTAATTTTTTTTCTTTTAAATGTATATTATGAAGGTGCCAGAACTGCTCAGTCGATTGTTGACACTGCCATCAATCACTTGAGAACTCTGGCCACAGAAAGATTGAGTGGAAGATCAGGTGGTGGTAGTAGCAGTGGTGGAAGTAGCAGTGGTGGAGAAAGAAAGGTACACACAATATTAAGTGCTCAGTAGTTGCATTCTATTAATTGTATTTCAATAAAATGTTTTTTTGTTACAATGAGAAAGGAATTTTGTTTGTGATGCAGTAAACTAGCATTTATTTGAATCTTAACTTTCAATCACATGCAGCCAGGAGATAAGAAGGATGTCATTGAACTGACAGACAGCAATTTTGAGGAACTTGTTCTGCGTTCTAATGACATGTGGCTCGTTGAATTCTTTGCTCCGTGGTGTGGACACTGCAAGAACCTGGCTCCTGAATGGGCATCTGCTGCCACAGAACTCAAGGGCAAGGTCAAATTGGGAGCCTTAGATGCTACTGTCAACACTGTCATGGCTAGCAGATATGGGGTTTGTTTTCACTAGATCATTTTTATCATTGTAATCATTATATCGCTACTGATTCAATGTTTTGTGTATATTATTAATGTTAATTAAAGTTGATTTTGTTGTTGCTTGTTTGTCTAACAGTGAGTAAAAGTTATCTGTATTGTTGAACCATGTATTAAACTGTACCTGTTAGGTGAATGGTTACCCAACAATAAAGATGTTTCCTTCTGGTAAGAAGGATGGTGAGGTTGTTGATTTTGATGGTGGAAGAACTGCAAATGATATTGTCAACTGGGCATTGGACAAACTTGCTGAGAACATTCCTCCACCCGAAGTTCTTGAGGTTTGTGCTCTTCAGCTGTTCTTCATTCTTTCTGGTCATCTGCACTCTTGTCTGTTATGTTGTTATTTATGTGGGATATATTAGATTGTTTCTCTATTATAAATCATATTACATTACCCTGTAAATATTTGTGTGTAGGGAAGAAAGATAAAAGTTTTGCTGAAACAAAATATTATTGCATTCTATTGTTTATTACTTTCTATTAATGTCAGCTGTGGAAGGGTTGTAATGTGGATACATGGATGATGTTATTTTGATAATGTGAATGATAAAAGTCAACATAACCGACATCTGATCATTGTAGCGAACCATCATCACATCATCTTGCAGCTGACAGATGAATCTCGCTTGAAAGAAGCCTGCCAGGAGCATCAATTGTGCATCATTGCCATCCTGCCACACATTCTCGACTGTCAGTCCAAGTGCAGGAATGACTACCTTGCCATCATGAAACATCAAGCTGAGAAGCACAAGAAGAAGATGTGGGGGTGGGTTTCTAGATGTTGATGTTTTCGCAAGTTTCACATGATGTTAGCATGATTTTGGTTTAGAGATGATAATATGTTTTTTATTTGAATTGTAGATGGCTGTGGGCGGAGGCTGGCTCCCAACAGGATGTTGAAAGTGCTCTGAACATTGGTGGATTTGGTTATCCTGTATGTATATTGTTCTTTTGTCTTGCTGTGTTTTATTTGTTTTTTTTAGTTGTATGCTTGTTAGGGTAAGATAATAGTCATAATCTTAACATTAAACCACAACGTTAATCTCATGTAGGCTATGGCTGCAGTTAACAGTCGCAAGATGAAGTTCTCGTGGTTGAAAGGATCATTCAGTGAGAAGGGAGTCAATGAGTTTTTGCTGTTAGTATTTTAAATCTCCGTTTATTAATTATGTGTTATTTGTATGTTTTGTTGGCTTGATGAATATGTTTAATCTTCACATTCAATTTTGTTTTATTATCCAGGGAAGTAGCTGTAGGCAGAAGTTCAACAGAGCCAATAAAGAATGATAAACTTCCAGACGTTAAAACAATTGATGCTTGGGATGGCAAGGATGGAGAGGTTGGTTGATTGATTGGCTTATTCTTTAAATGTTTAAACCATCAGTTGAATCCAGATACACAATTTTGATTTTAGCATTTTCTGTTCATGTTAGATCAAGCAGTTGAAATGAAATTTTTCTATTTTCTAGTCATATTACTAAGCTTTTTATATTCATCACAATTCTCTTGAATATATAATTGCAAAAATAAATAATTTCAACAGCTGCCTCCTGAGGAAGATATCGATCTAAGTGATGTTGAGCTAGACGACCTGCCCACGCCATCTGCTGATAAGAAAGTTGAATTGTAATCATTCATTGATTGATTGATTGATTGATTGATTGATTGATTGATTGATTGATTGATTGATTGATTGATTGATTGATTGAATGCTTCTCGTCTGATTCATTGGACCCAGCTTATCATTTTCTCATTCTTGTTGTACCATAGTTTATGTAAAAATCTGAATTATTTGTCTGGTTTTGTCTTTTGATGGATGTGTGCCTGTTTTATAATGTACGCAAATGTGTGTGTGTGTGCGTATGCATGCGTGTGATGTTAAGTTTCTTGTTTGTAGTGAACTGTTTACTGCTGTTACAAATAAACTGATGTATTTTAATGTTCTTTGTATGCGATATATGTGCATGGCTAACGTTTAATATTTGTTTGTTAAGACATGTGGCAGTGTTTTGTGTACAGTTACGTAATATCAATGTTATTGTTTCAATTGTAGTAATTGGTATTATAATAATTATTTATTTGTATTGAAGTTAATATTTAATGTAGTGCAATGTCCAAAAAGAGAAGAATTCGTAGATTGTGAGCTTATGGTTTTTACACGTCTAATTTAAACGCATTTACTTGAAATTGGTATGTCCTATGTCGTTATTTGTCGAAAAGAACATAAAACTTAAATTTCAGTTTACATTTTTTATAACGGCTGTCTTGTGAGTCATTTTTTTCAATGTGGCTATTCAATGAAATGTTCAACTGGAGGTATGAAGTAACTGTTCTTAATTTGTTAAGTTTCAGTTGTCGACGATTATCGCGAGTCAGAAGAAATTTTATTATATTTAACTCACGATTTAAACTCTCCGTTAATTCAAAAAGGAGATGAGCTTTATTTTATTTATTTTTATTTATTTATTTTATTTTTCGCCCAGTCTATACAGTTTTTTCTACTACTTTTTAAGAATTAACAAAAGAACACCGCTTTTTTAATTAAGATCTAAAATTAGACTAAGTACAAGAAGTAATAAATCGAGCGATTAAAGTAATATTAAGTAAATATTAACATTTTGATTTTGCACTTTAGCCATGAGATCAAAAGATGAATAATCTGGCGTGTGTATGCTGTACGTATTTTCTATTGTATGGTCTATAATAAGTGTTAAACTTACTTGGCTATAATCTATAGATACACTGAAATACGTAGTTTTTTCAGGGTTTAAATTGCAATATCTATCGCTTAAAATGTATACCGACGACGACTACGAGAGATATATTGAAGAACTGAGAAGCAAGGTTAATAATAGCGCTGGTAATAATGATAAAAAACGTTTGGATAACGTGTGTTGGACGTTTGTGCGTACGTCCACCAGCAACGTTACTCATTCATACGTTCGTATCAGATTTTTTATTAGACCTCTCCGTTTATCCTACAGAGCTTTGAAGAGATAGATTTTGAGATATCGCCAAGTCGCTGGACCAGATTATTACCTGCCGACAAAGTTGTTCAGTCTCACATTGATTTAATTAACGAGGGTAAATAAATATTTTAAGAAATTTATTTTAAAAACAGAAATTATTGAACACTTTTCAACTAACATTAGCGAGCGACAACGCGTCAAAGGTTTTAAAAATTGAAGAAAACATCAAATATGGACCGAGTGATAAGCAAGCCTACGACATCGTAACAAATGATGGAGTAACAAAAAGTTCGTACTGGACACAATAAAATTTGGAACTAAATCCACTGTTTCTAAACAGTTTAAATTTAAGCTGACAACCTGTTTATATTAATTGCTAAACTTAAATGCGTTTAGTCAGTTAGTTACATTTAGTTATAGGGATGCACATTAATGCATGTCTGTGTCTGAATCTAAATTTTCTATTGAAATATTGAAATAAATTTCAGAAAACCCAGTATTTGTATTTTTTCATGGAGGATATTGGCAAGCACTGAGGTCGTCAACGTATCTATATTTTGAAATTTTACTGACATGTTAACTCTCGAATGCAAAAAATTTCTATTCATTACTTTCCTATCAGTCGGCAGCAGTACCATTACATCGGACGTCCGATTGTATCAAAAAATGCTACCTATGTCAGTGTTGGATACAATCTTGCTCCAAACGGTCAGTTACTCTATCATGTTGTTAATGAAAATGTATAATATTTAATGTCTTGAAAATGTATCAAATAACTTCTATAATAAATACACTTTCAATAGTTTCCTTAACGGAAATGGTTAAGCAAGCAAGCGTTGCTATATCTAGTATAGTGAAATATTTTGTAGCTCTCGAATGCAGGTTCGTCTTAGAATTTAAATAATTTGAACATTGAAAACGTTAACAACATACAATTATACCATAAATGCATTGAAGTATAATCAGTCGTCGATGCATTTCTTCCAATAGCAACATCTACCTGTGCGGGCATTCAGCAGGAGCCCACCTGGCACTCACATCCACAACGACATGCGACGATTTACCTTTCATAAGTCAATACATTAAAGGTTCGATGAACGTTTCAATTCTTTTGTGAGTATTAACTGCTTATCCGCACAACTATCAAATTCTAGATATTGTCTATTCTACTCCGATAATGCGCGTTCCGTACCAGTTCATTGTTGTAGTGACACCTACGATTTTAGCTTATCAAATACGGAAGCGTTCATAAAAAGTCGAAGCCAGAAGTATTCGCGTGCATTTAAAATTTTATTGTATCATTAACCAGGTAATAAAGCTATTAATTTTCAAATGATGACACGATAATCATTTTTTCAGGTTTTGTTCTACTATCGGGTATTTTCGACGCCAGACCTGTTTACGAATCCTCTGAAAACAAGATCCTTCACATGACAAGGTATGCAGAATTTGTATTGATGCAATTGACTGGACAAAAAAGAAAACAGATTATTCATTCATGCATAATTTTTGTAATTGTTGAAACAGAGAAGAGAGTTGCGAGATAAGTCCGCTGGTAAGTGAGAAACACATTAAAAATCTGGCAGCCTACTTGAAGCATGCAGCATATTTCATCGTTGCTGCTGAACAAGATCCTCCACTCTTCAAAAGAGAATCGTTAGAGCTCTACAGGGTTAGTTTCTTGACTATCTACATTCCTATTATAATTACTGTCACATTTACTTTCAGCTCATCCATTAATCGCTTAATCACAAAATAACACTGTGGTCATTTCTTAAGTATGGTAACTCTTGCATAGAAAAATTTATTGCTTTAAAGATTTTACAGAAAGAGAAATTTGAACGAATTGAGTTTTCAATTGCAGAGGGCATGGACCACTTTAATTTGGTGGAGCGACTTATTGAACCAGAATATTTTGTGACAAAGGTTTTTAAATTGAATTGCAAAAACTTTTAATTCGATAATTAGCTCATGTAACTACTTAATGATACATTTTTGCAGAAAATTCTCAAAACAATGGGTCTGGAAAAAGATGAGTAACAAAAATGAATGGAAGATTTGTGAGTTTTATTTTATAGAAAAGACAATATAAAGTAAATCAATCATTAAGAGAACGGTTTTTAGAATGTAAAACGCATGCAATAAAATCTTTAACTTTTTCCTGAAAAATATAAAAGTAAACAAATTGTAAAACCGCTAAAAATAAAAATAAGCTGAGACATTTACAAATTTTGTTTAGTTAACTGAGAAAATCTAGTAACAAAATTATAACAAACCAGAATGCACTTGTCAACAATGGTCTGCGTGATTTCGTAGTATTTCAAACGTGGAAAATCAACCTCAAGGTCATCATCTCCACCGCCCACAAGCACTAATCCAGTCACAACATCATATTTCTGTCGGTAAGATTCTATCCGTTCAACTGGGCAGTTATATTTCGAACGCTGACCAATAATGTACAGAGTAGGCGTGGTTATATCGATCAGGTGATTGTCGCCAGATCTATCGAAGGAATAATTTAGGCAGATAACTCCATCCACTAAAACTTTGCTCGATACCTTTGAATAAGGTTAAAATTGATTTCACACAATATAATTTTTCTAATAAAAATACAATAATAGATGTACAATGAATACATACAAAATGAGCAATTAGCGATGTATAGCATTTGCCCATCAAAAATATTGGAGATCTCGGTGATTGGTGTCTTATCTGTGAAGAAAAAAAAATTTGATAGATAAATTTCACCAGCTTAAATTGACAATTTTTTTCTGTATTTAAATAATTACAAAAAAAATGTGATAAAATGCAAATAAATTTTTGAAATAATTCATAGAATGAAACCTTTTTGATTCTGTTGACAACTTTGTGCATTAACCTCTGCATGTGGTTCCTAATGTGATTAATAGATGCATGACATGCAATAGCGTGGGAGCCTTCCACGCAGTGAACGTTACAAATCCTTGCAGTGTCAGATAAGTAGCTGTCCCAAAACCTCCACCTCCTTTTCAATGCTGCACTGCCAGAATCTTCGATGTTTTCAATTTTAATCAAGATTGGTTGGCTGATGCCCGGCTGGAATAAAATTTTTAAACAAAAAATTTATTTCAAAGTCAAATTAAAAGAAGAGAAAAATACTTAAATGCTGCGTGAAACCTGGTCAATAATTCGTTTGGTTGGATTGATGACGTCGACAGGCTGCCAGGGAGAACTGAGAAGTAAGTTGAAGCCTTCAGCTGCTGTCTCGTTCAGATGCTTCAAATTGTCTCCTATCATTGTGTCGATCAAGTTGGGTAGCTAGGTCAAGGTGATTTTTATAATTAAATTAGTAAAACTAAAAATGATTTTTCAAAAAAGTATATTAATATAATTAAATTTTTCATAAAAATGAAACAATTAATTTTAACTGATAAAATTGGATGGTATAATCAGCTAGACAGATTAAGGCAAATGTAAATGTAAGAAAATATAAAATAAAGAAATTTACAACGTTAATAAATACATACAGTGGCCTATATACAAATTTTAAAATTTACTTGTGACTTCAATAATTGAAGTATTTCAATGTAAATGACCAAAAGTTCTTCAGATAAGGTGCTGACAAGTTTGCCATGCAACCAGGATGCTACAGATTTGTCCTAAGGATGATGGTTCATTCAAATGACAACATCTTTACAAGCTAATGACAATCTAATTAATAAATTAAATAAAAACATTTTAACAATTTAAAACGAAATAAGTCTAATAGTTAATTTAATTAAGTTGGTCATTAGTTGAAACAATTATATAACAAAAATATGAAAAAACTAACCCAATAAACGGTGGCCATAATTCTTCTAAACTGTTCAGCTAATTGTGTTAGGCTCAATTTTCTTTTTATAAACTCATTTCTTGACTTTAACAAATAATAATTTGTTGTTATCTTACATTAACAAACAAATTAATACGATCAAATGGTGATGAAAAGAAGTTATATCAAACAACCCATTTAGAATTAAAAAAATCATTAAATTGAAATATTTTGCAGTAATTCAAGTAAAAAATAATTTTTACAAATGATAAAATAATAAAATTTAAAAAAATAAAAAAATATACTGTCAGAAATGTCAAAAGTTAAAAATTTCTTAATTATTTACATTTTCATAAGTTAGTCTTCTTACTCTCTCCATCTTTAAAAGTTTCAAAACTCTTTTGATTGCATATTTTTGAGCATTGGACTGATCATCTCTGGGTCTGGAAAAATGATAACAATCATATAATATAATCTAACTTATAATCAATCTTATAAACAATCATTATAAAGATAACTAAACTAAATTTACTACTAAACAGTATCAAAATCATAAAACAGAAAAACATTTGATGACTTACAAAAGACATGGAGGTGTTTGATCTCTCTCCAAACTTTCATAAACCTCTTCCTCAAAATGATTTTCATTATTCACCATTTCATTGTCATTATTTGCTGTTTTTTTATTGGCTGTGTTAACTTCATCATCCTCATCATCGTGGTTGTTATCACTAGTAATAAAAAATCTGGCAAAGTGGCAGTAGCGCTGACATTGATTCATGGCATTCACAGACTTCTCCACATTGTACAAGCGAGGTTTCTCGTATGCCTCATCGTAGCTTTCATCATTTACCTCAAGCACATTTACTACACCTTCCTCATCATCATCATCTTCGTTTCTAAAAATATATAAATAAATAAATAATTAATTAAATATTTAAACAATTTCATATTTCAGCAGTTAATTATAATTATTTGATTGCCAACTTTTGATATTCTGCGCTGATTTTGAAAAGATAAATTGCAGGCAGATGTTTTTTCTCTTCTGTCCAGATAACATTTGAATAAGAATGGTCCTTATTTATATTATCGCTCGCTTCATAACTTTCGAAATTATTCAACAAATTTGTATTCAACTCAGTCATTAAACAAATTTGTATTTAAACAAAAAAAAACCCATTCAAAAACTTATTTATTATAAAATTTAATTAACCAAACCAACACAACCTCAACACGTAAATTAAATGTAGTAAAAAACGAAGAACAAAAATTACGCGCAATTTTTAACTTATTCAATTGCAACGGAGAGTCACAGTGTCATCTGAGTAAAGTTAGGCATAGGCCTGGAATACGCAACAGTTACGCATCAGTTTCTTTCAGCGTCGAAGTTTTGAGGTCATTTGATGATTCTCTAAGCCATGAAAGTTCTTTGACGGCCGATACACTTGGGCGGATTTCTTCCGGGGTCAGAATTTTTCTAATGGTCTTCTGACATCGTCCGCTTATTTTGATACTAGTTGGCATCAACAGAGGTATAACCACTAACTTTAACAAACGTTGCAAGTTCGTGTCTTCAAACGGCAGCGAACCAAACACCTTTAAATTAAAAACATTAATTTTATTTGTAATAACAGATTTCGCTTCAATTTTGAGATAAATTTATTTATCTTAATAGTACTGCTTAAGGTTATTTTTTGATTAATTAAATTAATTGTTTGAAAGTTATTGTGAAGTATTGTTTTTGATCGAGTTTTCACTGTTATATATTAGCTTTCTGCTTTGCCCTTTGTGCAAACACATCTAGTACTGGTACAAAATCACACATAAACAAAATTACACAAGCTCAGGGCAATGTATTTGTCACAAGTTTACACTAAAAATATTTACATATTTAAACAATTGCATAAAAGAACACAAAATTACCATGATGTAGAGGATAACACCTAAACTCCATACATCAGCTAGAAAGGGTATATAAGGACGCCCCTGCAAAATTTCAGGACACGCATATGCGTAACTTCCACAGAAAGTTGTGCTTCTTATAAGTTCGTCGGTAGAGTTTAAATTACTTTTTGCATATCCGAAATCAATTATTTTAACGTACCCTCTCGCGTCTAAAAGTATATTTTCGCATTTCAAATCTCTGTGGGCTATTCCCTTTTCGTGGATGTACTCAATGCCGTTGCACAGTTGCCTGAAGATTTTTTCAGATGTTTTTTCGTTCAGTTGTTTCTTTGCTTGCACAGCTTGTAAAAGACTCAAACCTTTCACTAATTCCATCACTATATAAATCTGAAAAAGTAAATAATAAAAAATTAAATACCACTGCATGATTGTCTGATTATCAGACTGATGTCAGTCTGATAATCAGACATCGTCAAACATCATCGTCAAATTCATGCAAGTTATAGAAACCAACTTTAACGTTGGTTTCTATAACTTGCATGAATGTGACGATGTTTGGATGCACCAATTCTTTCATCAACTCTAATTCTTTTGGGAGAAATTGTGTCAAAAACTCTTTAGCACCACGTATTTTGGGAATAACTTTTATAGCAACTTCAGTTTCATGAGTTTTGGAGAATGCAGAGTGTAAAACACTGTAGGCACCAACACCTAACACTTCATTATTCACCGTGTAACCGTACAAACTCAAGACTCCAAAGCTTTTGTCGTTCAAATCTTCAGCGGACATGTTGCGTTGTGTCGTTATTGTTAATTCTTTTTATTTTCTGTCCAATGAAGATATTTGAAATCCGTGATGAAAGCATAGATTGTTAATTTACTTTTTCACAACATTTTCTTCGCTAGCGATATTTACTAACATTAACTTATTTGTTTTGAATTTTAAAACTAATCATACGATCCGCATGATTTAGTGAAAAATGTTTTGTAAGATGTTAGTGTGAGGAACACGCATCAAGTTAAATAAGAATTGTATCATATATTAGTTAATATTCATCAAATACCTTTTTAAATTTTAGGTCATGTCTTTCGAACAAACTGAAGGTATGTCCTAATTTTTGACTACACGGCCACGCACACACACACACACACTATCACATAGTTGCAAGTTTAATTTAAGATGCTCTACCAGTACCACTATGAAATTAATTGTAAAAATGTCAATGATCAAATGATCTGCCAATTTAATTAGTTATTTATTTTATTTTATTTATAATGCACTTGCCTTTTCTTTTTTGTTCTTCTCCACAATTTTCACAACAAAACTTTTGAAAAATATTTCCTGATTTTTTCTTTGAGTTTGGTGTTCACTGTGTGAACACCAAACTCAAAGATCTCACGTGTTGTGCTTTATTATGTATGAAGTAAAAAAAATTACATCTTTTAAATTTAAATCATACACCACATCTTTTTAAAATTCTTTTTTATAATTTTCTATTTTAAATATTTTATATTTTAAATTATGAAAAAAATAGCATTGCAATTGAAGTGAATGCAATGCTAAGTTAAATCCTAATTCATTTATAGTATATGTTAAGTATTACTATTAATATTTTTCATTTATAATATATTACTATCATTATTTGATATTATTAATTATTTAATATTAATATTTGTATTGCAAATTAAGATCTTAAAGCATTTGAGAGGAGGTTAACAGAAGTGATATCACAACTACAACCGATTACTGTCAGATGGAGATGTAATTATAAATTATGATTACTAATACTAACAAATAATGAATTACTAATTATGAATTGCTATTTATGAATTGCTTATTATTATTATTATTATTATTATTATTATTATTATTATTATTATTGGTGTGCTGTAAGTGCTCTTAACTAAGATCGCTGAGGGGCTAATGATTATAGAAATACATTGGGTAGCATGGATAGAAATGAATGGAAAAACATTAGCAGCAATTGCTTATCATAAATTGCTAATTTTGAATTATTAATTGTATGATATTAATTTGTTATTTGTTACTGGTAAAGTAAATTTTAATAAATTTCATTTCATGAGTTAAACCAGAGAATTATATTTTTTTTTGAAAATTTTTGCTTTAATTAATGATGAGTAAATTAATAAAATATTTTGTTTAAATTTTTTTAGTTTTTGAATCATTTCAAAAAAATGCATTTTTCTGCAATAACTTGAAAATTAAATTATAAACTCAAAATTATTTTTACTGAATATTTTTAGTTGTCCTCCTGTTAACAGCAGTTTGCACAATTGCTGGAGCCTTGAACTGGCTGATGGATCCTGAAACGTTTAAGGTTGTCATCAACTTCATCATCATCATTGTCATCAACATCAACTTTTTAATCATTGCTGTCATCATTTTATTCTTCAACGTCAACTTAATCATTATTGTTATCTTTTAACATCAGCATTTTGACAATTATCATCAGCATTTTGTACATCATTGGCATTTTTACTGTTATTATCGCATGACAAAGATATTTTAACATTGATACTTTTTTCCAGGTCTCCTTCTTCGACTCCTTACTTAACCACTTATTTTTCACATCCAGTAGCATCTGCCTGATCATTCTATTTCTTCTCGGCATCCACAAGAGAGTTGTTGCTCCATCCATGTTAGTCGCCATGTAATATTTACCATTCTTGTAAATTTACCAAATCGTTTTATGTAATGTATCGTTTTTTTTGCGATGTACTTTTTATTTAAAGTAATTTTTACAATTGTTTTCTTATGTTATTATATTTAATGTTATTTTACTTTTTGTATACCAATTAGTAATTAATATTAATTAATTAATTGATTGATTAATTGTGCAGAATAGCTTCAAGATGTCGATCAGTTCTGGCTGATTACAATATGTCATGTGATGATGTTAGTTATTCTTAGCAGAAATCTTAAAATATTTGACAATTGACTAGTTGATGTCAACTTAAATTCACTTTTAACATCTAAATATATTATTGATATACATTATCTAAAATATTTTGAAAAAAATATTGAAAATTATTTGAGGTATAATATTCAAAAAATTATTTTGGTACATTTATTTTAAAGATATGTGAATTAAAAAAAATTAGACAGGGAAGTTGATATTGAGACCCAGGCCAGGAACATGATTTGCTGACTACATCATCATCGTCGTCGTCGTCATCATCCTCATTTTATACCATCATTATTGTCGTCGTCATCATCATCAATCATTATCATCCTTGATCATCATTATCGTCACAATCCAGCGTTATACAAAACCAAATGAACGAGCGAATGTGTAAATTTATGTTATTCTATTTTGTCATCACCATCATCATCGACTTAACATCAACATGTACCTTTTATTAATTATTAATTAATTAACTACATCATCATCATCCTTATTACATTATTATCACTATTTATTAACTACATCATCATCATCATCCTTATCATTATAATCGCTATCATAATTTTAATCATCTCAATTTGTTTATTATCAATCGTCATCATCATCATCAACTGTGTGACTGAACTTTTAATTGTGTTTCTTAGTAGGAATGTTGTACTTAATAATAATAATTATTAATAATTAAATTCAGGCGTGCTTACGTTATGTTATCAATTCTTCTTTATTTGTATATCTCAACCTTTCATCTTATTATTTCATTGATTTATTTTTTTAGCATTAATGTATAGACTAGAATCCACTTTTAAATTCAGAAGTTTATTTTATTGTCTTTATTATTATATTTTTTTTTTAAATACATCGTCCTAAATAAAAGAAAACCATATTATGTGTGGGCATTGTAAACAGAAGTACGTACACTATATATATATATATATATATATATATATATATATATATATATATATATATATATATATTTGTCCGACACATAACGGATAGAGACTATAAAAGAGGATTGATATATATATATATATATATACATATTATGTATATATTTGTATATATATATATATAAATGCAATTTTTGATGAAAATCACACCATGTTTTGAGTTAGCTAGCTTCCTGTTTAATTTTTCGATTTTTCTTACGGTAGATCATAAACCATTGTCGAGTTTCTTGAGTTAAGAACCAAAATTTTTATTTATTTTAAGCATGATAGAACAAAAAAGTCTTTTTCGGTATTCCTATACCATCTTCGGTGTTTGAATTGATTTTGGCCATATACACAACGTATCAATTCGAACACTGATGATGGTTTAGAAATGCTGAAAAAGCTTTTTTGTTCTAACATGCTTAAAATAAATGAAAATTTTGGTTTTGGACTCAAGAGAATCGAAAAATTAAACAGGATGCTAACTCACTTGGAACATACTGTGATTTTTATCAATAATTGCATTTCTGACAGTTTTAATCTTTATATATATATATATAATATATATATATATATGGGCGTGTATAGCATATTATGTTCATCAGTGTATGCATTTATATAATTAATCATAAAATGTTTTAACCCGCGAAAAAGTACATTCACAAAGTGATCTGACAAAAAGTTATCAATAAAGCCACAATTATATATATATATATATATATATATATATATATGTGTGTGTGTGTGTTTTTGTGTATGTGTGAGAAAGTGTATGTGTATGTGTGTGTATATGTGCACGCGTGTTATTGTTACCAATAAAAAACATACAAAAAATTATACTATATGTAAATGAATATATATATATATATATATATATATATAGTGTAAGTATTATATATATATATATATATATATATATATATATATATACAAATTTTTATCTTTTTATCATATGTATCAATATAAGGTATTATTAAGGACTTGATGGATGGATTGTATTATTGCATTAATTCATTTACTGGACAAAAATCATTGACATATTTGAAGGAAGGCACGCCAACTACTGCATAGCGAGCAATAGTTTAATAAATTTTTGAGAAAAACTTCAACGATGGTAAAACTAGCGTTAGTGGAACTTTATTATTTTAGTATTAAATTCAAATTGATTTATAAGATTAATTTAATGCTTTCTTAACGACATACCGATGTTCAAGTCATACATATGCGCCATGACGTGACTTACGGAAAAAAATTTGTGTCACATGACCAAACGTATACAAATTATTGTTTCGTGACTGCTTTAGGGTTTTTTTTTTTTTAATGAAAATCTCTTTAAAAAATATTATCGGACGTTTTGATTTGAACACGAGCAATGATGGTAGGATAGCATATATATAAATTGTTGGGCATTCGATGAGATTAATAATAATAATAATAATATAATAATAATAATGGAAATGAATGTAAGAACAGCATCACAATCACTAATCATAACTAGAACAACGTTCACAAATTTATAGAAACCATTTTTAACAATTATTAAATGTTCGACATGAAAATTGAAATTAAAACCAATATTACATCTGTGCAACAACATTTATAGGCAAACTTTAATGAAACCCAACATAGTTATTATATTAACAAATGCAAATCTAATATGTAAAATTAATACAATCTTGTACGCATTATTAACAATGTTTCATTCACATCAAACAGGAAAAAAAAAATAACAATAATCTTTCAAACAAGTTTCCTACACGTACACACACACACGCACACACACACACACCACGCAAATACAGACGGGCATGCAAACATACTATGATATTTGGTACGTGTGTTCGTATATATAGTCATGAAAGTAAAACAAAACAACAAATTAAGAACATTTTTAAAATAAGAAGAAAAAAAAAACAAGAAAGAATATTAACAAATCTACCTGTAACTTTAACGGTAAAAAAAAACATTATCGCAACAAGGTTTTA